ATTTAGAATGGACTAAAAGCATGTATCCTAGTTTAAAAATAAACCAACGCAGAGGAAACTGCACAGTCGTTATCAGTAGATAGCATATAGTTACCAGACATTAATATCTATTTATAAAAATATCGTCCGACCTGACTCTCTAAAACAGTAAGTGATTTCAATCTCCATGCCTCGCCAGTCCTTCACTACATATCCGGGCCATCTTTAGTGTAAGTTACAATTGCTTTACGTCCTAATTAACAACCAAGGTCATTTAAGGACGTACCAGCTTTAGATGGTGGAAGTAAGTCACAGTTCCCCGAGAAAAAACACCGACCAGCGGACGGTACCTGACGACTCCGCAACGTAGGTGTCGAACCCGCTAATTAGTGGAGTGCAGACGCCTTAACCACTTGACAACCGTGGCCACCTCGCGCTATCGATCAAAACACGAACAAAATCACGTGCATGTAGAATCAGACCAAATCTTCCGGAAGGCTAAGCGTTTTTCTATTCCATTAACACTCGTCTCGTCGTGTAAATATTCGTCCTCGATACTCTATGGGTGAAGGTTCCATATGCGACACCTTGTGGACAAGACTAGATTGATCCTTTCATGTACAACAAATGAAACTCGAGGTTGCATGACGGTATATTGTAAAGGCTTTTGAGTTTGGTGTCGGTCCTTTGTAATCTTTAAAGAACGTATCAGCCTGTGATTGGTCAGTTATTTTCGCCTGGAATCAACCAATTATTTCGCTTGTGCATTCAATTTTACTATAACCTGCTCCTGGGGCGCAGAGAACGATATTGAGCCTAACCCCGGGTTATCGGATAATGATAAATATTGGTCAATCTAAGGAAGTTATATCACAGTCTCAAATGAAAACAGATTTACAACGAAACCAACATGTATACGAACAGACATAAAACATCAAACTCTATTTCGCACGAAAGGAAATTGAACATGTCCTAAGAGGGTCTTAATGGTAACCATAGAACTGTCTTATATTCTTTATCAATCTTTATCTTTAGAATCATTGTGTTGTACGTGTCTACCACCTGTCGACTTTTTTCTCGGAAATCGTGATATTGGCAATCGAATTAATGTGACACACTTACACCTAGGTTGAGTAATCGAGGATTTTTTTTCTAAATGAGAACGAACGAAGTAGAAGAAGAAAAGAAAAGACTTATCTATAAATCGTTGATGTAGCGTCAGCAGGTCAGGTTTGGTCCCCCTAGATATTATTTAAGTAGAACACACAGGAACATCTTCGCCAATGTTACATTTGTTACCTGGTATGGTACAATGTAAAAGTGCAAAGTCCCCCAAAACACGTGTGAGAAGTCATTCCCGACTCTCAAAAATATCTAAAACAATCTATTTTGAATGCATAATCTTTTTATCAGCCTTTTAAAAGTCAATATATTAAATATAGCAGAAAAACTGCCAACGATGTAAATATGTAAAGCAATGACCACGTGTGAGGCTTTTTGCCGGAGCTACTTTTTAGCTATAATTTATATTCCGATCTGAATATTATTTCACAATTTAGAAAGAAACACGACAGAGATAATGAAAGCTGTTAAAAATGTTATACAACGTTTAACGATGTCTCTCAGTTTAACGTTGCTGTGTCTTTGTGTTTCATATAAGAACGAATTTGTGCACCTGTTTACCTGTTGAAAGAAGCGTTTAAATGACTAAGACCTCTCACTAATTTACGGCGAGGAGGGCGGGTTTTTAGAATGCACCTACGTCTTATCACAATTGATGTTACATGGCAACCAGGGTTCATGTAAAAACTAAGAACGACAATTTCAGAACACAACAATACCGAAACTTGAATCAAATATTAAAAATCAAATTTAATTTTTGGCAATATATCTTCCTCCCGAAGCTCCTGATGCATTCCCCTTGTGGTTTGTGGTTGGTTGCCTCTAAATCTTTCATATTTTTGCACTATTTTTTAAACTGTATTTTTATTTTTAAATAAATATATTTGCTGTCCGAAAAAACAAGCAAAACTATCGTCGATTCTAATTTATCAGTTTAAATGACATTATAATGTTAATGAATTGCAATATAACATATTTCAACAGCAAAATTGCCTACCTTGTGTTGAGTTTGTATGTCTTCAATATTTTCCACTCAGTAAGTCGCATTATCAGTGTTGTACACAAAACAAAATCCGTTCTCTAAATAACAGTGAGGTCGTTGAAAAAAAGTTCAAACCACCTTTATCTGTAATGCTCATTTCAATCATATTTCATCATGTCCCTCCATCATGGCTTAGACCAATTAAAGAACTGACAGATATTGTCGCGGTGACCCCATGGATACTGACAGTCTGTGAACCGACCTCTTATAAGGCGTTTTACTGTGATAGAATAAACGTCCTCACATTTTCTATTCACGCCAGATATACCGCTATAATAAAGTGCATACTTTACCGTTTTTATCATTTAAACAGACATATAATGTGATTCAACATCGACATATCGTAAACATTATAATATCTGATTGATGAGAGCTTAGAAATTTCTACACGGGAAGGGAGACAACTCTTACAAAATACTTCAGTACATCATATTGATTTTTTGAGAGTGTCTCTGTTCGTGTGTAAAAAATATGGATTTGGGAATTGGACTCTTTATAAAGCAGTGAAAACCTGCCGACGTATCAACGTTGTCTTATGTATAATTTTGGTTAACAGAAATTTATCATTTTATCTACCTTTACGTACACCTCATTAAAACAATATTTGGTACGTGGGAGTATATCCTAGGTATAAGTCATGGTTCACAGATTAATAGCAGTTAAACGACTATAGTTGTCAATTATTTGCGTTTAGGAACGGTTCATAGTTTTGTATATAGTTTTAGGTGAAGAATGATATAATGGTAGTTTCTATTCAACTAGTTGTGACTGGCACCCAATGCTCGATCTTAATTTGATATTGTGGATGGTCGTTTGTCACATTGTAACAAGCTTGCCCTTCACCTCGGCGTTCGGGGTTCGATGGCAAGAGACAGGACGTGGTTAAAGAATGAAGCCTTGCTCATAATATCAGCCAAGCTCTACGGTGATGAAAGCACCCGAGCGAAACTCTATACCGGTAACATGTGTAAGACCACGTTTCATTCACGTTCAGGACGAGAGGTCTCAGGACTTGGCCCATCTGAGAAAAAAAAAGTGAAAAGGCAAAGATCATCCGGAAGTATAATTGCCTTCATTTCTTGAAGCACTAACTAGTTAACCAAAATTTAGTGGGTGTTTTTTCTCTCCCGAGAATGTCATGTATGTAAGCTTCGCTCTTTCCAGGCACTACCTGACTCAAATTATTCACGAAAGGAAAAATATATAATCGTAAATTCGCGTGTGTATAAAGAAAGATTTTCCTGGAACAGAGTAACAACTGTTTACTCGGAACATAGTGTACATCTGCTTTTTATATTGAAACGCATTACGGTTACATTTGTATACACTTCCGAGTAGCAGAGGACCACAGGAGTGAGAAGTGCCGTCATATATTTACAGGTAGAAGTATTTATAACGTATTATCATACATTCATTTTGTACCGATTCATGTTAAATTCGTGCAATGTTGTGCATGCATCTTCTGTCTAAAATCAAACGACAACAATAAAAGGTGTAATGAAATCCGCGACACCTCAAGAAAAATGTTTCAATGTTACGCATACCCAAACCGAAAGTAACCTATGGCACGCTACTAAACTGAACAGATATTAATCAGATTTTTGCTCTAGTGATTAATTACACACGATAATGATAATATTTCTTCGTGTTATTTGTAAGGTGTGATTACAAAGTGTAGTATAGCATTAATCAAATGAAGCTACGTGTTATCAGAATATCTTGTTTACGATATCTAATTCGTCCTTGACTCATGACGGCCGACACGACCAAATATAAAGTATACATGGGTAGGTATTGCAGCTTAATCGTTCAAGTAAAGAGAAATATGGTTCAACAATGGATGAATGATTATTGCTACATATTTACAATCTGTTCTTGACTAAATGTCAAGGTACCATAATAGCTCATTGTCACACGTGGAATTTTGGATTGAAATTATAAGCTCAATCATGTTTCCTTGTCTTTCACGTTCCACTCCTGATACAAAAGGGGTATATAATTTGTGCTTTTTAAAGAAAATCTGTATATACAATAGAATGTGATGCCGATGTGTCTTCTGAGTCGTGTCTATCACTAGCCCTCCACCTCTTGGTCGCGGGTTCGAGGCCTGCGTGGGACAGCCTCAGGTACTGGACGTAGGTGTGTGGTTTTTCTCCGGGAACTCCGGCTTTTCTCCACAACCCACATCCTTAAATGTCCCTGGCTGTTAATAGGACGTAAGGCAACAATTAACCAAACTAAACCAGAGTTTATTATAGAAATCCATTATTCTAAGTTAGCGATTTGTCCCTACGTCATTATATAAAATAAGGAGTGTGACAGGTTATGGTATTTCTATCTCATATATGTCTATATATTAACTTATTTAAATTGAAACACCGATGAATATTTCATTCAAGATGAAAATTTGTTTGCTTCTTATTTTTTTTAAGCTTACCAGTCACTAACAACAGTGTTTTTATACAAAGTGAAATTGACACCAACTTCTTGTGAATTAATGTTCAACATAATAAATTTGAATAGGAATCATTCATAAAAAACATATTTTGAAAGTGAATTTATTTATGGAACCATGTTCAGTTGGATTTTTTTTCATACAAATATCAAAACCATCCTTAATCCCATGATTTTAAAAATGAATTTATTGTCGGCACCATTTTCAGTTGCAATTTGGTTTTTCATACAAATATCAAAGTTATAATTTACCCCATATTAAAGTATTTAGAACTCGCCTCCAGTGCCTTGGTTTACAGTCGATGTTTTAGAAGTAATCGGTTTTAATACTATGAAGTATGAAAGCAGTCCTTACTACTGCATTGTAATAGGCCATTGACCTGCATGTTTTGTTCACCAGACCATGACCTCCAACAGACTGCTAGTGGCGGCGCTGGACTTCGGTACGACTTTCTCTGGGTATGCTTTCTCTACAACAGCAGAGAACAAGGAAAACCCTCTCAAAATTCAGTCTAACCAGGCGTGGACTACTGGTGGCAGATCTTTGCTCTCTCTCAAAACTCCAACATGTCTTCTTCTGGACAAAGATAAAAAATTTGTGTCGTTTGGATTCGAGGCTGAAGATGTATACTCAGATCTACTCATGGACAATGTAGCTGATGATTACTACTTCTTCCAGAGATTCAAGATGAAACTGCATGAAAATTCCGTAAGCTAGAATTTCTCTGTTATGTTGATCAAATATTTGATGGAAAATGTTAAATACACTGTATAGTGTGTTATTTTTGACGGTTTTAGTTTCTTTTCTTGTGTATGTAAAACAAAATCACGGAAAATACCTTGAAAATAAAACAAAATGTTAAAAAAAAAAACAACCGAGGTTTGCCCTATTATGCATGCCATGTTTCAGTTCTTTCAAATGGTGGCACATCCACTTATGTACTTAACGTTATTCTAAATTTATCAGATTAATATATATAAAAAAAATGACGTAATTTATTTATTGATATGGCAAGTACGTCTCATAGATCCAGATATTTGCATCCTCGTAGATAAATTTGGGTTTCCCCCAATCGCTTCCGGTGTTTCCGCGGTTAAGGCCCTTAGCCTCACTGACGAGCTCTGTCAGGACGAAATAGCTGTATGGTGCACTAATATTCATTCTTTGGCTCTGCTACCTATATAATGATAAATTTGTATCAAAAGGAGCCATTCACTTGTATGTCTCTTGCATCATCGTTCTGTGGTGTTTTGCCTAATAAACAGTGGTTTGTTTCTATGATGTTTTGTCATTGTAAATAAATGTAGGGATTTTTCTTAAACAAGATTCCGTCGCATTTTGATCTCTACAGATGCTTTTTCATATTTCTTCGATCGTATCCTGATTTATGTGATCTACTTCTGGTAAAATCGTAAACACGAATAGAAATATATAACGGCTCACTGCAAGAGTTGTCTATGTGTTTCAGGACTTGTCCATGTCTACAATGATTGAGGACGTCACTGGGAAATCCGTCAATGCTTTGGAGGTATTTTCCAAGTCTATCAGCGCCTTGAAGAACCACCTGATGAAGACACTGGAAACCCAGAAGGCAGACATCACACCAGAAGAAATCCAGTGGGTCCTTACGGTCCCTGCCATCTGGTCCGACACTGCAAAACAATTCATGCGATCAGCTGCGGAACAGGTAAAGACGGATCATAAAGATCTCACGTAGTACATAAGCATTGAAATGTTTCATCCGTCTGAACATTACAACTTGATAACAGATACTTTTTGCGTTGTGTCACTAGTGTAATATGCCCTGGAGTGGTTTTCATTGGCTGTGCTTGTCAAAAACCGATTGTGATGTCATGATATATATATGGACAATGACGTTACGTCATGAATTGAAATTGGTGCAATTGCTACCGTTTGATTTTGTCCTCTACATTTAACTTTAAACTCGGTCAAAACTAAGAAGAAACTCCAAAAGTCTTCGAAGAATAAAATTCTTAATGACTTATTTTTAAAAATCGTGTGAAATGAAAACTCATTCCCTTGCTTTGATGTATTGAACTGTTTAAAAGTTAATTTATTGACAAAAACAACCGATGTGAAGCAAGACAATGGTATTCGTGAATGAACCCGCTCGCGGTATCGGTTGTAGATTAGCAACGTCTCTGTAAGACTATTTGAGAACTCAAGAAATTATACGTCCGGAGACCTCACGAAACTGAAAGGTAACCCTATCGAACTAATTAGCAAATGATTGGCCCAAGTAATCTAGGATTCATTGCTATGGAAAAATTGGGTAAGTCATTCGTGGATGGGAAGTTATTAATGAACACAGAAATGACGGGTTTCTTAAATGATCAAAAAAGTACCAAACAGTAGTAAAAAATATTGAGTATATATGTTAGGAAATCTTTGGCATTATGTTAAGACACATATATCATAGCCGCATTCCTTGATCTAGGAGTTAGTTTATATCCAAGTTGTGTGGTTCGACGAACCCTACTCGGATGGGTTGTGTTTCTCAAGAAGCTGAGAATGTCGTGTATTTGGGCAAGACATGCTATTCCAATAGATCTGACTGGTTTTTGGCAACCCTCCTGTTATTGTCCAATGAAGTTAAATAAGTACTAGTGGGGACCCAGTAACAAAGCTATATCAGACCAACAATGGTGTATTTATGCTAACTAAACATTACCTGCAGCTCTACCTATAATAATAGCTTGTACGTTAATCAAACGATTTATTTTTAAAATTGTATTTCTGTTTTAGGCCGGAATTCCTGGAGGTCAATTGAAGATAGCATTGGAACCAGAGGCAGCCTCTCTGTACTGTCAGCACCTTCCCCTCGACAAACTTACCGGAGCTGAGACAGGCTTCTCCGTCACCAAAACGGGCACCAGGTACATGGTGATCGACGTAGGAGGTATTTTAATTGTTGTTTTCAGTTTAGCTGTTTTTGACCATGTTAAGTTCGTTCAAGTTCTGTTATCATCAGGCGCGTTTTTATTTAGTGTTTCTTGGCTCTGAATGAATTCACATGATTTCAACAGGACGAATATTAATGAATAATTACTTTGTTTGAAAATTCTCAGGTGGAACTGTCGACATCACTGTGCACGAGAAACTTGACGGAGGTAAGCTTAAGGAATTATACAAGGCTAGTGGAGGAGCTTGTGGTGGTACAGCTGTAGACAGCAAATTCATCCATTCGGCGTTCATCAAAGTGGTAGGGAAACCCGTCATGACAGAGCTAGCGGAACAATATCCGGGTAGCTACTTGGATTTATACAGAGAGTTCGAGACTGTTAAAAGGACCGTTACTCCCGTCAGAGAGGGCAAGGTCAATTTAACTATTCCTATTGTGGCCATCAACAAAGTGATGGACGATATGGGGGAGTCCTTCAAGGATGCCCTCATGTCTAGCCCAGTAGCGGGAAAAATTGCACTTCTTGGTGACAAACTTCGGATCGACGCGGAAATGATGAAAGAAATCATTTTTGGAGAGGTCTTAAAAGATATTGTCAATCACGTGCGAGATATTCTCAAAAGGCCGGAAACAAACGGCGTTACCATTCTACTCCTTGTTGGTGGTTTCTCAGAATCTCCAATGGTCCAAGATGCAATCCGTAAGGCGTTTCCAAACAAGCGAGTCGTTATTCCAAACGAGCCTGGTTTGTCTGTATTGAAAGGTGCAGTACTATTCGGACACAAGCCAGAAACGATCGCTTCACGAATAATGCGTTACTCATATGGGGTTGATACAATGCCGTCCTTTGATATAACAAAACACAGAAATGACAAAAAAGTCACAATTGCCGGTGAAGACCATTGCTTAAATGTGTTTAGTGAGTTCATGGCTGCGGGAACATCTGTCCCGGTTGGTCACACGGAATTAGCAGCGTACACAACCACAACACCATTTCAATCTGCGATGAAATTAAAGATATATTGCTCGACAGAAAAATCGCCAAATTACACAGATGACGACTGTTGCACTATGATGGGTCGTATGGACATCACGGTACCAAACCCAACCGCCGAAGAACGCAACTTAATTGTAATGTATAGCTTCGGCGACACGGAACTTAAAGTTACTGCGATGGAAGCCAAGTCGAAAGAGCCTTGCGTGGCAGATTTCAACCTTTTGAAATGATTAGTGAAAACGGAACACATTGAACCATTATACAAACACACAACGTGTGTGCATCATATTATGGAAGTGCAAACTAATTGCTTTTGCATTTTCATATTTTTGAAGAAAAAAAAAACCATTTGAGCTCCCCCCCCCCCCCCCTCTTTTTTCATTTCATATTGCAAACGGGAAATATTCCACTTTATGTGCTTGGTAAGCAGTTATTTGAAGTTAATTCGTTTCTTCGTCAATCTAGGCTGGTGAGTCTTGGGATTGATTTGGTTGTTGATAAAAACTATTCACTTAAGCCATTTTCAAAGACAACACCCGATCGTCTCCGGAGTAGAGGACGAACAAAAATGCATTTTTATCATCATTATGAAAACGAGTGGGAAAGTCCTTGGCTTGACCCGTACAATCGACGCACGTGCAACAGGTGAACTACTATGACAGCTTTGACACTTGCAGGTGTCTGTGTTTGCCTAGAATTCGTTCATTCAGCACTATTACATGAGCAGGATATTTGTCGACAAGAGTGAGTACCAGATGTACATGTGTCTATCATATGTCTGATCAGGGGAGACCAACGTGTTCAGGGGATTTCGTATAAAAAAGGAACATTGCTACTTTTATACTCAACTGATTTTATTTGTATGTTTTTACCAATACAATGCTTATCCTTTACAATAAAATATTTTCAAGAGAGGGTATATAATTTGTTTTGCTGAAAATTATTTTAAAATTATTTAAATTCCAAGTCCAGAGTAAAAAGTACCAAGAAATGCAACCCTTATTTCATGGTAAAAAAGTAAGCAGGTAGTTTGACGAGAACAACCAGCAATAACGAACTGTGTGTATGGATTCTAAAGTTAAGTTGAAGAATCAAATACAAACGCGGCAGGTCGTTATCCTAATAATTAATTTGCAATCTGAATTATTGTGATGCTGAAGAATGATCGGGTAATATATCGTGTTAATTAAATGTGTAGGTGCACCTTCTTGAGAATTCCTCATAATATTGAACTTTTGTATAACAAATTACACAAAACCCAAATCAAGATTTTTGACACATTTTTCTACCAATTTTAAATTCCCTCTTTGGTCTCAGTACTTAGACTCTTAACATTACTGACGAGTCCTAGAATGACAAAACAATTGTATGATCTAAAAACAATTACCAGTCGAAAAGGCTGCCATATTTGCCATCCGATTTAGCTGCAAGATGTAATTGTTTCTGATCTTGTGTTTCTTTCCGTTTCTATTTCACGTATCCTTTTGTTGTGGTTTATTGTTCATCTAATATATTGTGAATCATTCCACTAGATTTTAATAGACTGGTCTAATCATAAGACTGAATGATATATTACCTAGTACAACCTGATACTGTAAACCAACATGTTTTAAGGGTTATTTTAGCGTTTTTCCCCTGATTATATTCTGATGACCAAACATCTAAATGCAAAATATGTAGCAAAAATAGCGGGCCTGCTAATTCATCATTCTGCTAATTTACCGAAAAATGATAATACACTAAAATTGTGTCAAATTAAGTTGGATTACAGTAAGCTGTTTGAAAATTCTATGAAATATTTAGTACATCACCGTTGAAAGAATTGATGGCTACACCTACAAATGTACAAAAAAACAAAAGTAAGAGAGAGGAACAAATATTGGTGAATTGACTTATGTTTAATTACATACATGATCAATAAATTAATTACAAAGAAGTCAAATTGATAGCTTGGCTATTTCTATCAGCAGCACAGTGCCAAATATGTTATCAACACGGAAAATATTTTAACACTTATCCCAGTAATCACAAAGTGATCATTTGCATGCTCAACATTCAAGAATGTCACCTTTCATTTCCCATCATAACATACATCATGAAAATACTGCATTTTATGTAAGGGATAACACATATAATGTTAAATGTTAGGAATGGCAATCACAGTATTATAAATTGCATGATATCACCAGATCACAACATAATCCAGTGTCTTTTCTACCGAAATTGTACTACAGTCTGTGTCTGTATAAATTAGGTAAATGTTTTTAAAAATAATTTGAGAACATTGTCTTAATTTTTGCCATTTTGAGAGGAAAACAAATTTTAGTTAAGGGAAAACAGACTTTTTTGACAATTTATTGTATAATCTAACATGTTAACTACAAATGATAATGCGGACTGATATAAAATTTGTGTGATATAATTATTCATTAAGCAATTATTGGTAGTTTAATGTCAAAGAGACAAATGAACAAAGAATAAAAAAAAAAAAAAAACTTTAGAAAAAAAAAAAACAAAACTGATATGAACATCAACATAAAACAACAGATTTCTGATAGCCTCCTGTTGAATATCCAACATTTTGTGATACCTTGGTAAGTAAACCAATTCATGAATCCCAGACTCACCACAATAACACTGGCTACATAATCAAATAGTGACTTTGTTAATGTTCCGTAGTATAAATAATTTCTCTAATTCAACTATATAACAAAAACATCTGATAGCTCTCAATCCCCGACCCTCCCCATCCCAACCAACCTTACATACGGTCAAACCTGTCTATAAAAGTTCTAGAAGATTGGTGTGATTAGAAATTTTCACAATGAATTGTTTAATACCGCTATTGAAGCTGAGAGACACCTGGACCAAAGAACATCTCTAATACACACGTCTCCATATTTCACAGACTAAATTTTTTTTCAATTTTGGTGTACTGTAAAATAGCAAAAACAACATCCTCACGAAAGTTAATTTGTATAAGATACATTAAGTTATAATTCCAAGCATAATGGACAGTACAAAAAAGCCCCTCACTGACATCCCCCATACACATACTCTAGCCCCTCACTGACATCCCCAATACACATATTACACATACTCCAGACCCTCACTGACATCCCCCATACAATTTATACTCTCCTCAAAAGCAAAAGTCCCCTAACATGTAATCCCCCATACAACACACATAATACCCACACACACGTCTACAATATATCACACCTACAGGTCAATCCGCCTCATACCACTGATAGCATGTGCTAATCTTTGGGGCATGTTTTCCGTAACATCGTGGTAATCATCGGGAGATGCCTTTAACAGTTTGTCAATATTTTTCAGGGTTTCGGACATGTGCAGTCCCAGGTCCTCCAGTACATTACACAGGTAGTCTGTAAATGGAAAACATTTTGAATATCAGCAATGAAAGATATGCAAAATCAAAAATGTGCAAATAATGGACTTCATTTTTGCAGAGCAGTTCATTTTTGTTAAAACGTGAAACCCATAGATTTTAAACACAACAATAGAGCTAGATAAAAGCCATCAAAGAATTATGGTGTCTTGAGGCAAAATTTCAAATTTACATTTTTGTGAAACTTAGACATACAAAGTCAGTAATTTTGTTTTATCAGACAAATAGTAATATAAAAGAAACATTTTGGCCACAAAGAGCTATATTCTTAACATTTACGCCAATTTTTGGAATTCATCCCTTTTTGAGTGCAATAAATATATTAATTTTTTGATATTATTGAAGTTTGATCTAAATAGCAGGGTCACATTAGCTCAGTCTGTTACAGTGTTGGCCTAACCTTAGGTGAGTATCTTAGATGCATAGATCCCTTCCCGTGAAATTCATGTTTCTCGGGATGTTGAGAACAGATTGATCTGTGCTGACGTGGTTGTGTCTTTGGGAAAGACACTTAACCAAAATTACACTGGGTGGCATGCATGAGGCATGGGGGTGGGGATTATCATTATCTGGCATAAATTCTGATTATTTCTATCTGTAGGAAGTTGAAGGTGTTTCCTGAAGGAAGGGTTGACCTATTCCTTAGAATATATTCTGAGATTCTGATTGTCTCCACCTGTAGGAGACAGAAGATGTTTCCTGAAGGAAAGGGTGACCTATTCCTTAGAATAGTTTCTGAAGTCTCCTTTGCATAGATTCTGTTTATCACCACCTGTAGAAGACTGATTATTCCTGAAGGGAAATGTGACCTAATCCTGAATCAGATTCCACAAAAAGTAACAAGAGTATTTTTGAGGAGATGCAAACAAAATTCATTTTAGCAAAACAGAAGAGTCAGATGACTTGGAAATGTACAAACCTATATCAGTGGTCAGCTGTTTTGTAGCATGTGTGGTCAGTTCATGAATCTTGAGAATTTCCTCGCAGTAGAAATGCATCGTGCCACGAGCTATAGATTCCAGCCAAAGGTCTGCTGTGTGTTCAGGTAATTCTGTATATAACACCATATAAATAATTAGGCAGTGAAATCTGGAATATTCACTTTTCTGGATCATATAAAATGACAAACACTTAATTATTGAAATGTTCAAATTTGTGAGGAACACAATGACAACTTTATGTATAAATTTATGATATGAACTGGGCAACACAATACTCAGCATAGAACGTTTCTTAGGACAATTTTTTTATTGATGCAGGTATCTGTTTAAAGTCTAATTCCTATGGAAGATGGCTTATTCATCTGAATAGCCAAACTGACACATTTACCCATTTCATCTGTATATGGCAGTCTTCCATGCTTAAGAGCCACAATGACTGCTGGGTTGTCCTGCATGGTGAACGGTTCAAGGTGTTGTGGAAGGGTCATCATGTACTGACCAATCTTTTAAAAAAAAAAATAATTTGGGTTATAAAAAAGCGCTATTAAAACTAAAGAACGTCCATAATAAATGGATGCTCCCTCCCTTGTAATGCTTGATGAGTTTGGAAAAATTGTCAAAGGTGACCATTGAACCTATAACCTTTATCGATGACCACCTTAAGAAAATGATGTGTAGAATTTGATGTTATGATACTTTAGGGTAAATACGAACCAAATCTGTTAAGAGGTTCTCAAGATACAACAATATTTTGGAATAGGGTGTGACATTGTCGTACAGGTCTGATGGATGTACTCCCATAAAATTATGAAGGCCGCTTTCTATAATAGTTCAACAGGCATATCAAATATAAGATATTATTAAATCTTAGGGGGCAGAATAATGAAATAGCATTTAATTACAGTTTTAATGTACAGCTATATGTATTGTTAGGCATTAAATTAGTCATCAGGGCAAGAGGGAGTATATTTTCAAAAGTAAATCACCTGACATTCATTTTAGACATAAATTTCTACTACATTATATAATTACAAATATACAATTCAGTTACCTTGGTGATGTACTCCTGTGGTGAGAGACTGAAAGTTGGAAGGTCAGAGGTCAATGCTCCGCCAGCACTTTTAGACATCCAAATCTAGAGAAAACAAACATGAAAACATTGAGGTTTTTATTCTCTTTTGACCTATTTATAGTCATTTCTCATTCAATTTTCATTTTCACATTTATCAACTATGTACTGCTGTGTGAGAATGTCAAACAGATTTTTTTCAATTCTATATTAAAACATGTATTCAAAACCAGAGTAGAATTAATATTTTCTCTCCAAGAGGAATCTATGTTGTATTATATTCTAATTCTGTTAATTCATAGGTTGCAGAATGCCATGTAAGACATATTTTAGACAGGTGGCATACCAGAGTCTGAGTGTTTATCTACCTCCATAGTGATACATTAATTTCCTGACAGAAAGACCTACCTGAGTGTAAGATATTACATACTGCCGTGGTATGCTACAGTTTCCTGACAGAAAGACCTACCTGGGTGTAAGATATTACATACTGACGTGGTATGCTACAGTTTTCTGACAGAATGACCTACCTGAGTGTAAGATATTATATACTGCTGTGGTATGCTACAGTTTCCTGACAGAAAGACCTACCTGAGTGTAAGATATTACATACTGACGTGGTATGCTATAGTTACCGGACAGAAAGACCTACCTGAGTGTAAGATATTACATACTGACGTGGTATGCTACAGTTTCCTGACAGAAAGACCTACCTGAGTGTAAGATATTACATACTGACGTGGTATGCTACAGTTTCCTGACAGAAAGACCTACCTGAGTGTAAGATATTACATACTGACGTGGTATGCTACAGTTTCCTGACAGAAAGACCTACCTGAGTGTAAGATATTACATACTGCCGTGGTATGCTACAGTTTCCTGACAGAAAGACCTACCTGACCTACCAATATTACATACCTCCATATTTGCCAGATCTGTTAGATAGCCTTTCAGCTGAGCGAATACAATATCAAATGAAAACCTGTGAACTTCCTCACTCAGTTGACAGAACTCTTTCTTGATGTCTGTGAGCACTGATGGTGTCTCTCCTGTGAAGCAGAACAAATAGATCTGAATTACTGTTGTATATACTATGTACTGTGTATACTCTGGAGATTGACAATTAATGGAATTAACAAATTAAACAAATAACTGAACCACTAAAAAAACACATCAGTCACCTGGCTAGAGATTGCTCTGTGTTTTTTTCTTTGCAGAACACTTTCAATTGTTATTATATTTTTCACTGAGGCCAAACAAATATGTACCATAATTGCACTTCTGTTTCAGTTTCAAAATCAACTGAGCAAGAACATTGTCGTAAGTGGTTGAAATTTTAATTTCTTAAAAACTATAAGATTCTTTTATATGTCTGGGTGTAGGATAGGGATATTCCACACGAAAGGTTACATAATGTAAAATCTGAGACTTTGTCAAGTGTTTTAACACATTTTGTGACCTTGAGGGTGAAATATCCCATCCTCCACCCTGACATATGAATGAGTATTTTTTTCGATATTTCTCATTCTAAAACATTGAAAAAATGCTAGCCTCAGACATCGACAATGGACTAGCAAGGATGCCATATTGCACAAAAATAATATCTTTTTATTTTACAATTAATCGACAAATTGACATAGAAAAATGAACTCTCTGTACCCAGAATTCGCAAACAAAGTTTGCACTAGAAAGTTAAAACAAATTAATATAAACAGTCATTGCAAATAATTATTTGTGCACAAATGTGTATGTATTGTATCAGACGATGACATCATTGGGAAGGGACACGTCACATTTCTACATCTGTGTGCCTGTATTGCATGGGTAGGTGTGTAATACAAGAACAGTGAACCTGGGTGTATTGCCCTGGACAGACTAGTTTTAAACAGGTAGAAATGAGAAAAATATAAATAGTGTTGTATGAGAAGTACTTCTGGTATCCACTTTTGAATAAGTAAAGTCAAACGAGTAAATTAATATGCTTCACTGACAGTAGGCCCAGGGACACAGGCTGGGAGGTGCTTGATTACTACATTTCATATCCTTTTCCAAAATAAAAATTGATATTTTCCATTTAGAACTTCCATCTTTGTATACTTAGCATTGCCCTGGAAACAGTGAGAAGTGAGTTATATCTAAGTAGTCTGAAGAGGCGTCTGATTTAATGCTGCTGGGAAAAGGAACATAGGTAATTTTTTATCAGACAATTCAACTGTGGCAGGTAAATAAGTAAATGCAAGACTGAGGACTTGTTTGATTCTGTGCTTCTATCGACTGTCAAGTTCGAAACTTGAAAAAGTAAACAACATACAAACCCTTCTTTCGCACTAAACAAACAATAAAGCAACATGAAGAGAATTTTTATGGTTATTCTAAAGAAAGTATTCTTTAATTATAACATAATACATTGAGTGGTATAGGGATTGAAAAGGAAATAATGGTAGATACATTTTTATATATTGATAGGATCACCAATATGTTGTACGTTTTTCATCCATAACACTTTGATCTATATTTCATGTTAATATCAAAAGAAACATCACTTACCTGTAAGTTAATTGTAACTGAATGTTCAGTATCTATTTAAAATATATTAGCCCAAGGAAACCATCTTTATTTTTAATTTTAAATCATTTTTTTCAAGAATAAGAAAGCTATTTCAATTTATGATGCTGATAACTCAGCTTTTGCTTGTAAACAAAAACCTAAATTAAATGTTAATTTTTCTCCAGCAGATGAACAAAATCTGAATTAGTACAGTCTTTGTATATAGGGGTTGTCTATCGCATTCTAAAATAGAACAGTCCTGATACCTGACACTGCCGATAGACTTCGACCAAACCTAACAAAGAGGAACACAGTAAAAGAGTTGTCCTAAACTAGACATCTCTTACCTTCCTCCAGCTTGCTGACAAGACTCTCCAGGTTAGCAATATCCTCAGTATTACTCAGAAACAGAGAAGCTTGTGCATGTAAAATCGACCGTTTACCAGCATGTCTGCAATGAAAATATTTTTATTACCAAATTTGTGGATTTTTAAATTTTGTCATATAACAATTTCATGAAAAGTTGTATTATCATTGAATGGATTTGAAGTAAAGTGTTGTGTAATAAATTTTCAATAATTCTTTATCTGATTAAATGTGAATTCCAAAAGTATTTCACAACAAATACAAGAGGCCCATGGGCTTTAACGGTCATCTGACTACAAAAATTTTCAGCAGGGAGAGTTTTTTTACTTTGAATGAAATCTTACAAAGAAGCATGATGCAGATGGTAGTTTTGGTAACTATAACAAGTGTAACCTATTTTTTGACAGTAAAGTTGAAGTTCAATCCAACTGATGAAACTCAAAAGAAGTTTGAAATAGATGTTACACAGAAAAACCATAATTGCGCAATCATGTTACAAATTGGTCATTCTGGGTGCAGTATCAAATTTTTGACAAGGTCGAAAAATAATGAACATGACCTTTCGGGTCATATGACCTAAAAATGATAAAATAGGAAATTGACTCATAGCTACCTTATGTCATTAATGAACACTTCCTAATTATCAAACTGATCAGCTACTGACCTGATTTTGCTTGCCTCTTTCACAGGAGACCCAGGGTTAGAGTAGTGTGCTATGGTGTGCATAATACTGCTGATGATATTGCCATCAAGCTCATCAACATGCATTATCAGGTCCCCTGTTAGTTTGAAAATGTTTTAACATCTGATCAAAATGCATGAATACAAATCTTATCAATAAAATAAAATATTGTAAAATATTCTTTAATATTGTCTCACAATGTAACCATGTCACAGTATCAAACTAATCTGGAATTCACATCAAGGTTATAAGGCTATGAATGCCAATTACCGGGCTTATTTTTATGATATAATGCAAACATAAGATATAACTGTGGATGCTGTATACCAGGATCTTTTATTTTTGCCCCTGAACAATTATATACAAATTCGTGTTCATTTTGCCCTCTGAGGATTATATAAAATAATGTGATGTTAAATGTTTTAGACTGGAGTCAGATGAGGAATTACATTTTATCCTTTCCGTTTGAGATTGGGAACAGCTCTTTCACTTCTAGCTTTCCTTTATTTCTATCATATTAGAACCTCTTTTGATTGCTGACCAGCAGTCTTCAGATATACTTCTCTTGAGTTCAGGATATTATTGGGGTAAAGTACATTATTTTTAGAAGTGAATTTTCAGCTCCACCAAAGTAGATTTTCTATAATACGAACCACATGTCTGTATGATGCGAAGAGACTGCTGGAACAGAGTCCAGTCCTCGGCATCCTGAGATTGACTGCTCTTACACTTTTCTTTAATGTTGACCATCACTCGACGAAACTCCCGACAGTAGCTGATGAAATATGTCTGACACAGGAAATGATACAATCTTATTTAACAGTAAACACCCATCACAGATACGATCTTCTGGTCACGGAGAGGTACAGTGTATTTGAAAATAAGTTTAACTTCTGTAATATGTATCAATTCATTTTGGAGCCAAGGTGATGTTTTACTGGAATAGCCCTAAACCTTAACTCCCTGTAAGCCTCGTTAAAAAAGTTTACAAAGATACATTAATCAACATAATTTGAGGTAATAATAAGTAAAAAGATTTTTTTTATTTAGATTAAATCATCAAAAAAATGAACATACCTTTAAAGCATTAAGTAAAAATTCATAGCCGCATCCATTGGACAAACGCTGACACCTCTCGTTAGCCTGTAAAGAAATGGTCATGTTGTTTAAATATGATCCGACATATTGAATAAGAATTGCACATTAGTTGTTCTATTGCCTAAACATCTTACCAGGTTCAATATACAGCTTTCATTTTCCTTCACTGTTGAAATTTATTTCACAACTGATGATTTCTATAATTATAAACAACTCAAATCAGGACAGATGAAAAGTATTCTCGTACAAATATCCACAGTTTATATAGCCAGGTCTACTGTTGAAAGTATTCTCATACAAATATCCACAGTTTATATTACCAGGTCTACTGTTGAAAGTATTCTCATACAAATATCCACAGTTTATATAGCCTGGTCTACTGTTGAAAGTATTCTCATACAAATATCCACAGTTTATATTACCAGGTCTACTGTTGATAAGATTCAGTTTTATACAATAATATCTAAATTAATTCATTACAATTAGGCAGGTAATTATAGTAATTATATATAATTATATATTATATATTTAAGATTGCATCATGGACAAGACATTTTAAATTACTTTCATATTTATAATACTCTCATATTTGTAATACTTTCAAACTAAATATAAATACTTTTAACAATCACGATAAAAAGTTTCTGCTTTTTTCACTTACATCTTTAGCTACATTGAAGAGCTTGTTCACTGATGCTGCTAATAACTGCACTGTTTCAAACACTTCAGCGTCATCCTAGAAAACACAGTTAAAATACTTAGAAAACATTGTTAAAATACCTAATCCTAGAAAGAGTTAAAATACTTAATCCTAGAAAACACAGTTAAAATACTTAATCCTAGAAAACACAGTTAAAATACTTAATAGGTTTGGCAAAGATAAATCCCTCAAGCGATCTGTCGAGTTGTTGTAGATTTAGACAAGAAGACTTTGATTTACTCTTACAACTACTTAATATTAGGTATTATGTCTTTATCATTCTTTAAACTAAATTTCTGACCACAGCTTCTGTTCACATGATACATGTGGTTGTTGTGTGGAAAGTCCCGATGTTATGCTATGTCTGTGATGTCATGATCTAATGTTCAAAAGGGGAAACACATGAAGACAGTGTTTAGACATCAAACATGTATTTCCAGTTCAATTCCAAAACTTTGTTTACGTCATAACTGTCAGGCACATGTATAATCATAATTTAGACATAAATAGCATAGCATATTTCTGATCATGAAATGAAGGAATGCTCCTTTAAGAATACTATTTCTCTGATTCTCATATATGGACCCGCCCCTCTAAACCCGAAAGAGTCAGACCCAACGCACAAAAAATTTGGATAAATCCCGTCATTTTCACAGAAAGAAGGATTTTTAAGAATTCACGGTGAAAATTTGCTTATTTGTTTATGACAAATAGCAATTTGGAGAAAAATTTGACAACCGGATGTTGCAACGTGTCTTAGGACCATTAGTCCTTCAAACTAGCTGAGCTGAATAAGTATAATTGAAAACACAGTCACATATTAAAATCAAAATGTATATATTACACAAAAATCTTACCAGCCGAATGTTATTGAGGTCAGAACCTAGGGTCGCCTCCTCCATTGACTTGTACTTCGCGATGTAAGGTCGGTACGGAGCATAAATCATCATCATCAGCCTCTCCAGACTCTGAGTGTGCTCCATTTGATCCACTTTATACAAATACGTTCAATATATCTATTACTTTGGATTGTAAATCATACCCATCAATTTGTTTATGACCTACAGGAAAACATATCTACCGGACATGCTTTCTAAGCCATTTACATATTTAACTATACAGTGTGTCTAGAGAAAGACATAAAAATCAGAAGACTTAAACAATCAATCAGATTTAAAAGGTAAAAATAGATTTTTAAACCATCACGGAAACATTTAAACAGAGAAGACAGACTCTTATGTTCATAATATTTTGATGATTTTACTTTTTTCTTTCATACAAAAAAAAAACAGGCTGCAACTATATGCTCCCCGAAATTGTTTTGTTTTTCGTAGAGCATAAAAATTATTAAAATGTTTAAAACACTGACAAGTTATTTAATATTTATTTACTTAATATTGAATTCAAAAATAACATTTTTATTCTTTGTCTTCAATTGCGTTTAATTTTTCCCCACTTGATTTTCCTTCACTAAATTTCAAACTATTCATTATTATTCAACAATAAACGAAGGTTAACTCAAAGACTAGTGTTTTATGGTAAACAAAATTTAGCATCAACAAAATCTCACCTTTGGCATGTGTCTCTACAGACTGTTCCATACTCTTTGAAAATCTCTCAGATATCTAAACAAAAAAGAAAATCTTTGTCTACAGGCATAGATATATTTCATCAACTAATGGCATTCTAACATTATGATTTTCAAATACGCTGACAATATTTTCAGGTCATGTTTTCACATTGTGAAAATATTTCATTTTTTCATATTTCATCGTTAATGTAATATGAAACAGAAACAGCTTACAGAACCAAACCAAGATTTACCTCCTTGAGTTCAGTAAGGGCTACAAGGTTATCTTTCCGCTGACTCAGATGTTTAGTTATACAGGCAGAAAGGTCTACTGATGAAAGAGCTTCCGTGATCAGGTCACAGACAATTGGTACAGGGTCCGCGAACACTTGGTTACACCACTTTATCTACAAACAACAAATCTACCCTCAAACACAGAAATCATGTATACCTATCAAATGCTGTAACAGACAATCTCTGCATTTTCAACAGTTTATTTTGCGGAAGTAGTAGTGCTTAGTCTGATCAAATTATCACAAGGACATCTGGAGCCAAACTGACGAAATCAGGAATTAATAGCATTGCATTAATAATTCAAAAAAATTTTAAACAATACGACAAAAGGTTGTCAGATCTTATACTTCAACATGAATAAGTCTACTTAAAATATTTTAAGATTTACAGCTTGCTGCGAAAGTCTCCATCAACATTGGCAATGGAAAAGGATATCACCATTTATTTCATGTCATTTGGTTTATTTGAAGCCATTCAATTTTTATTTTATTTATACAAATATTGATAGGTACAGTTATTTACCTGATTATGCCAGGTAGTCAACAATAGGTCATAATACTCTGACATCCAGTCAGTCAGAGAGTCATCTGACTTTGCTTCCATCACAGTTGTCCAGCTGCTCATCAGGTTTGTCTGTTAGCGAGAGGATACATTTGGTTGTAGTATGTGCCATTGTTTTATTGATATAGATACTCTGAAAAAGTCTTGCTTCAATTTAAGACAAAATTACCATAAAACTTTTAATACACTGACAATAATGGGATCAATGTCATTTGAATGCTTGTATTTAATTCTACCTTGCATCATGCTAGAAGCAAACATTCAGAAGATTATCACTTATTTCATGATAATTTTTACACATATTATGCAGAAACTTCATTAATAGAAACATACATATTCAACACTTTTCAATTTCAATAAAGTATAGCTGGAGAATTAATCGATTTATGAATCTACTTCAAATCTATTCAATATTGGAATTTCTCTGCCAGCTGTAATTTTGTCCTGGGAACATGGTATACCTTGTGACACTTATGATAGTACTTGTAGAGCTGAGGTAGTCTGTCTATGTCGGAGAATATTCTGGTGAATTTCTGGGCTGCCTCTATAGACTGAGAGTTAAAAGCTGCCACCAACTGTGGGCTCAGCATAGCTTCTAGTCTATTCTTCAGCTTCTCTAGGTGATCGCATCTCTCAGCATAATCAGGTGTGTCCACCAACATTTGCTAAAAATACAACGCAATAATATCCATGTGGAGCAAGCAAATACAAGTTGCAAACTTAACATTACTATTGTGACATAAGCGGGATTATTAAATTTCATATATAATCCACATAATTATATACATGTACTTATCTTTTTTCAAATTTTCTCCACACACTTATTAACAACTAGAAGGTAAGTTTTAATACAGTAACTGTACTGCTCTATACAGGAGTATGTTTATAGCAATTTCATTCAGATCTTAGCAGTCTAAATTGATGAAAATTTCATGTGTAGGGAAAATTTGAAGAAGACTTCTTAAGATCTACATATCAATGTATACATGTGTAGTGAAAACTTGAAAAAGACTTTTGGTCTACATGTCAATGTATACATGTATTGTGAAAACTTGGAAAAGACTTTAGGTCTACATGTCAATGTATACATGTTTGTGAAAACTTGAAAAAGACTTTAGGTCTACATGTCAGTGTATACAGGTATTGTGAAAACTTGGAAAAGACTTTAGGTCTACATGTCAATGTATACAGGTATTGTGAAAACTTGGAAAAGACTTTAGGTCTACATGTCAGTGTATACATGTATTGTGAAAACTTGAAAAAGACTTTAGGTCTACATGTCAGTGTATACAGGTATTGTGAAAACTTGGAAAAGACTTTAGGTCTACATGTCAATGTATACAGGTATTGTGAGAACTTGGAAAAGACTTCAGGTCTATATGTCAGTGTATACATGTATTGTGAAAACTTGGAAAAGACTTTAGGTCTACATGTCAATGTATACATGTATTGTGAAAACTTGGAAAAGACTTTAGATCTACATGTCAATGTATACATGTATTGTGAAAACTTGGAAAAGACTTTAGGTCTACATGTCAATGTATACATGTATTGTGAAAACTTGAAAAAGACTTTAGGTCTACATGTACTATGTAATACTTACCAAGCATGTCTGCATTCTTGACAATTTTGCTGTAATCTGTTTACAAACAAGGATTTACTATATTAGAAACACTTTTATGAACAAATTTCCTGAAATTTATGGATGATTTTGCTACATTTATCATAACAGCATGCAAACAGGGCTTGTGCACTTTTCTCAAACAGAGACATTTTTTTCATAAACTTAAAACAAATTAATTATCAAAAATATACATAATAAACAAGCTGGAAAAAACACTTTATTTCATTCGTTTTGAAAAGATTTCTAAAATCCTTACAACACTTTCCTGTAAGACACATCACCAAAAAACATGATGTAAGAACTAACTTACAGCGTCTGTATCATTGGATTGGAACACCTCTTCTACATCAGCACTGAGAGTGGTCCAATTATCTGCCTCCTGCGGGGATAAAATTACTGATCAGAAAAATCTTTTAAAAGATTTTATACAAAAACCCTTATACAGATCATTACAAACAGAAACACAATACATTTCCTACCAGTAATTCATACCTGTAAATATATGTTTAAGTAATGCTTTTACTTTACATCAATGAGAACATGGACAGTAAAAATATTAAGAAGTACAGTGAAATTATTGTGATAATTCACAATGAGAATATATATTATATCAGGCTAATCTATAGTCAGTTTGGCACACTAGGTTCACAACACTATTCTTACCTGTAGACCCTCCGCAGCAGCTGTTAGACGAGACTTGATGGAATCAAGCTGAAGCAGCATCTGCATAGATTGGGCTGTGTCTTGTTCTACCTGTAAAATTACATACAAATGGTTTTACATAAGGTAAGATTTCATAATAGTAAGAGTGTGTACAATTAACTTTACTATATTGAACAGTTTCCATAGCAACTGTCTATAGATAATCATATTTACTTATCATAAAAGTAAACACTAAGCTTCTATCAATAAATTGCCTTTATTAACATATAAGTAACACTTTACTTACCTTCTGAATATCTTGTTTTACCATTTTCATTTGTTCTTGTAATAAAGAAGATTCTTGCTTGACAGCATCCAACTCTCTCATAACTCTAAAAGGTAAATAATTAACAAAAACAGATCATAAAATTACTGTATTGTGCTAAAAAACCGATCTATTGTGTTGGGATTTGTCATTTACACAGCATATCAATTGAAAATATATGATCTCCTTTTGTCAAAGAAGTGGGCTGCTTTCTTCAATACTGATAGTTCAGTTAATCAACATTTCTAAGGTTTAGACCAACATGTGTATCATTATATTTGGGCCAACAGGAGGTGAAATACCTTCTCATACCAATAGGTGTATAAACAGGAAGTGAGTTATCTCCCTTAGAGCGAAAGGAGGTGAAATATCTCCCTTTAAATTAACAGGAGGTGTACTACATACCATAGACCAACAGTAGGTGAAATATCTATCCTAAACCAACAGGAGGTGAAATATCTATCCTAGACCAACAGGAGGTGAGATTTCATTTTTAGATCAAGAGGTGTATCATATACCTGCGACTAACAGAAAGTGCAATGCAACAGGTGTGTTATTTCCCTTAGACCAAAAGCCTGCACATTATATGGGTTAGACCACTGAAATATCCTCCCTTAGACCAAAAGGAAATTAAATATATCCCTTTGACCAACAGTCAGTACATTATATATGGTAAACTACTGAAATATACCCCTTAGACCAAAAGTAGGAGTAATATATCCCTTGGACCAACACAAAAGGAATATAGAGATTTCACAATAAACTTCTGTTTATACCAATCTAAGAATCATGCATCAAGTGATAAGTTGATAAACCAGATCTCCCAGAGAGATCTATATTACACCTACCGTGGGAGATTCTGTACAGCTTGTTGACTAGTCTCCTCAATCACATTATTCACCTCCTGAAATTTCAAAATTTGGATTGATTAGAAACACACTTTGTTATGTCATATCTGTATGAAAATACCTGTTCAAATTCTATATTACCTTATTAACAATTTGAGAGTTAGAAGAGTACCCCAAAATTTTAAAGAAAGGCATGAAATAACATGATAAGCTTTTGTTATGGATTTCAGACAGAAGGAAAATCAAAATAGGCTCCATATAAATATATATTTCTCCAGGATCTGTGATAGCATAGAGTGTTGGTCTATTTTACCTCACCTGAAGATCAGAGGTTTACATCTAAACAATCCCTACTGGTGGGGGTTCGTGTCATACTTGTGCCCTTGGGCAAGACAATAAATATCCCAACTGCTCTTGATGGCATACGAATCATCTTGTTTAGTGAGGTAGCTACCTCCTACTACAAACAGTACCAGCCCCAAAAATGACCCTGGCTGTTCTGACAGTTCATTTGGTGATTGTTTAATTTGTCAAAGAAGCTATTTCGTTGAAAGTATTGTTAACATTTTTTTTCTTACCTGAATAAACATCTGAAGCTTCATTACTAGGGTAGTGGCATATTGCTGAAATTACATAAATCAATAAATATGTGTAGTTTGTTTAAGAGTTATCTCTTACTCCACAAAATCAAGTTTCTGATACCTCTTTATACAATTAATTAATTCTAACGGACTGTGGTTGTGCACAAAATGATAAATACCTTCAAGATCATGATCTACAAATTCATGACTACAATTCCATGTTAATGTTCATACAGGCAGCATTATATTGATAACCTTTCATATTTGCTGTTTTATGTTACATGGATATTCCACATAAGTTAGGATTTCGTTGTATACTTTTGAAGTAAACAGTACAAAACAATCTACTTAAATTCTAATGGAAATTATACACCTCAATTTACCATTTTAGCAAACTTATGATTTTTGACGTAAAAATTCTTTACAGATCTACTAGATCGATCAATATACATTTGCCCTTGGTTGCGTCATAACAGGTTTGCCAAACAGAATGAAATGCTTGCATGTATTTTAAAAGATAGAAAACAGCCCAATGAAGTAAGACAATAGCAGCCCCAGCAAAATTTTTACTGAATAGCATCCAAGTATTTTGCATAAAATTTATGATTCAGTGACCTTTCAGTTCCAGTTTTCCTGATTCACTACAATAATATGTTTAGATGATTTAGCTGCATGAATTCCCACCAATTTTGAATGTCCAAACTGACCATAGTAATGATATTTTGATGTGAACAATAGTTTCATTTTATTGAGTTCTTGAAAATTGAAAGTTGAAATTTTGCAACTTGGGCAGAATATTTTAATTTAAATCACAGCAGCACTAGTGACTCTTTAAAAAGCCATATTAGCTAGATCTGAAGCAATCAAACATATCCTTATCTGAATAGCATCACCTACATTTGACATGAAGAGTTTGGAGTTCATAAAATTTCAAAATAAAGCTTAAAATAACCTGCTTTACACAAGTTTTAAATACCAACATCTTTATTCGTTGGCTGGTCCTTCTGTGAACGAAAGGCTGTGTTTACCCACTCCTTCGCGTCAAAATTGTCATCCAGAAATTTAGAGTAGTCCTGAAAATATATCAATGCCGACAAAATTAATATGAGAGTGTTGTGCTAGTAAGATGGATTGATGGCATCTGGTTAATTTGACAGAAAAAAAAGATTGAAGTTATATGTAGATCTTAAAATCTGAGACGTAAATACAAGTACCAGGTGAAAACTTTTCAGTTTCAAATCTATTTTTCATTAATTTTGTTCTCCATCATATTATCCCTGCTCATTAGCATAGCAACTTTCTGTAATGAGTACCAGGAATATCTATGTAAGTTTTACTTAGTGGATTACAATTTCAACCTAGTATGCCTTTCTGTCCAACAACAAAGTAAAAAAATAAAAGCATGGACAAAAATTCTACTATAGTATGTGTAAAAGCATTCCCCACCATTTGTTTCCTGAGAAAGAGCCAAGATTAATTCAAGCCCACAAAAAATGGTTGCTTTGTCACTGATCAATGCATTGTTTTTTAATTCCTTATTTTAAAGTACTTTTTTTCTGAGTTCTACCAAATTTTTCATGTCTTGACAAACTGCATATACAAATCCTCCCTCTCCAGTTGTACTACTAATCATTACTACCTGGTGTTTTCTTTCAGACCAACAACGAAGAAAATATATTGGAAGTTAATATATATTTTATTTAAGACTGTTTTATACAGTTATGCAGATGCTAACACTTTGTCTCATGTCTCTATTTTTCTAATACAAATTCTTAAACAGGAGAGTGAAATTTTGATCCGATGGTTTGCAGATAATTACATGTATATGAAGACAAACCCTTACAAAGCCCAAGTAATTAGCATTGGTAAAAAGGCAAACGAACAAATAAAGTCTTTCAATGTGGAGAATACAGAAATATAGTGTATCAATAATATCAACATTCAATGCACATATATCTTTTTTTTTACTGAAGTTTGATGACCAATTTTTGTAAAAAGGCATGCCCGGATTTGTAACTAGAAGTTATGAAGAGAAAAAAAATTTATGACAATGAGCCGTACCGGCTAATATAGAATTTGCGTTACAGTTAGTGTGTTTTTTTTCCTCATAAATGAATCCTGCTGTTTCAGAATACTGTAAACTAGCTATACTTCACATATAGAACGTCAGATGCCTGCCCGGCGATCTTATGGAGACCCAGAAACCCATAAATAAATTGCGCTAGTGAAGCCAGGTAATGCTGGTTGCAAACCACTAGTCTTATAGCGTTAGGTTTCATTTTCATTTGGCAATTCTTGTGTATGAATAATGAATGTGTGTTAAACAGAAAAAGAACATGGAATCAACAACACTAGTTTGTTTACCATTTCGGACGTTTCGTTTTCCTTCCACGTTTCACTGCGCGAAGAGTGGAACAAAGGGCAGTAACTCTGAACCAGACCGGTCAGAAAAGGTCTAATGGGTCTGTATTATTCAGTTTCTTTATTGAGTACAAGAGATTTGATTTCAAATTTTGAACCAATGTACATTTGGCAGATCGAAAATAATATTTAGAAGAAAATGATAAAGTGAGCTTAAAATAAAACCAAGTCTTTTTGGTATTTTAGCAATTATTATTTATTGCAAAATTTAACAATCATGTAAAACGATAATCTGCTTAAATAAAAAAAGTAATAAATTTATGTTCACTACACAGGTATAAATAACGAAATCAGTATATTACAACAATAGCTCCATTTAATGAAGAATGCTCAATATTTCTTTTAAATAAATATATGTGTGCTGCAACAAGAAAGCATAAAGGCGTAACTGTTTATCCCACGGTATTAGTTTTACGTAACACATGAATGAAGAACTGCATTTTTTCTTTTCGTTTTTTCTTCTTTTTTTGGCTCAACAAAAACAACATATGCAAAGCATACTGAATAAGAAGCAATGTACAAGATTATATTTCAATATACATTCAACATACATATACAATTTAATTTTTTTTTAATTTTCTGTCAAGTAACAAATTATCAGACTGTATTCACATAGAACAACAAATATACTACAAAGACTTTGTTTTTCTCATCAGAAGTTAACCTTAAAACAAAGGTTGAAGAAAAACAACATAAATGCTGATCCTTAAAAGTCTTTTAAACGTGATTATTTTCTCCATGTTTGAAAAAAATTATCACAAATAGTGTTAATGTATGGATATATTTACAGAAAAACATTAAATCTTATTCTTTATAATGTATACAATATTATCTCCCTTAGACAGCATATACAATAACCCTTAATTTTTTCTGAACTTTTTGTAAAAAAAAATTTGAAAGTTATAAGAAAAATATAGACAGACCCGGGATATACAACCAATGTAGTATGGTAGGGCTTTTGTTTAAACACAATGAAATATTTTCATTTCATTTTACAATTATAAATTTGTTTGATTGTGTCCACAGAAGAAGAGAGAAAAAAAAACTAAAAAAAAAAACATTATCTCATTGCTGGCTCTGCTTTAGAAAATGTCTGATATTTTTTCAGGATCATGAAATTATTCTGAATTGTCTCTAAACTTAAATATCGTCAAAAAAGAAATTTTTAAAACTTTAATAAAAATTACAAATGTACGATAAAATCATTTCCAAACAAAACAGTATACAAATTAGTACATATTGGCCTGTAGCAATTGTATTGTGTAATGCTAAAAATCCATATCACCACATCAAGTGGATCAGGCAATAAACACGTACAATAACGATGTTCCAAAATCCCAGCATACAATATACATGTACAGTGAAAGAAAAATGTGGGTGGAAATCTAAAGCCACTACAAAGTTTATATATATATATTTCTCATATGGAAAATTGATATTATCCAAGAGATAACGATATGGCACAAAGTATTTTATGTATAATATTCCATAACTGGTAGACATATTGATACTGTCAGCAGTGATTAAAATCGGTTAATTAATACTGATAAGTTTCTTCAATATTCCTTCAATCGTTCAGCTTTTGATGATGTTCTTATTATTTAAGGATTTACCTGGATAATTTGTTCCTTTTGAAACAAACTACAGCATAAAATATTGTGTACTTTAGATAAAGGATGAGGGGGGCTTGGGAGAGTGGTGGGGGGCTTACTGTGGAAGGAAACTTGAGTGTGCGAGGAAACATTTGTCAGGCAAGTGACCCCATATATATCTTCTTGTCCGTTCTGGGAATCTGGACACCTAGATGAAAGTTGAGTGTGTAACCACTACAACCACTGACCATCCTTCCATTCAGATGCATGACTTAGTGCCACCCCTACGGATAAAATCTAACAGACAATGACCCAATACTGTTACAAGATGATACCATTAATCATAGTCGAAAAGGCAGTTTACAGTTTCAAATAGTATTGAATTTCTTTGTAAAGACATGATATTTAGCAACAGGTTTGTAAGGCCTGTAATGTTCATCGTAAACACAAGTACAACTTATATTTCATTACCAATGCAATTACTGCAAAAACAAGTTACATCAAGTTATATCAATCATTCTTGTTGGTAAAACTGGATGGAAAACACACAATAGGTCTCACGTCAGTGAAAGGCAAGAACATTACACAAGTAATGTTGTGCCATCCAATCACCTAAAACATGGTCAAATACAGTTGTTCCTGGCTTCATATTTCATTCATAAGTTACAGGAAAAATATATTGGCATCATGCACTCAAATTTCTGAAAGGTAATTCTGTCCAACGACATAAGCTTCTAGCTAGCTGAATCAAGCATATCATTCAAAACACTGAGAACTGAAGCTTAAACAAAGCAGAATAATAACATATGGTATATCAATATTACTATATTTGTAGTAAATGTAAGAAAAAATTTAATTCTGTAATTTAACGATTTATGAAAATAAGGATTAAAAATGCTTTGTTATTGATATGTAAGCTGATCAATTTCTATTCTTCACTAGAAATTTTTACCATCAAAATATGTTTAATACTTCTTGATTCCGAAGTGAACATAACTCTCAATTCTTTTCACTTCGTACAAACTCTGGAAACTTTTGATTTTTGTAATCCTTCTCTATTATACCTGCAAATCAAACCCAATCCAACTCTGAATTGATAGGTACAAGTGAATCATACAATTATTGACGGGTCTGGAATTGGAAATAATACATTTTATGAATATAAACATGGCAATTATCACCACATACATCCATTAAATGTTCTTCAACTATACTGGAATTTTTTAATTAGATGTAGTAAATACTAGAATATGTAAGTTTTTCTTTGATATCCCGTACAGTGATCACTGTAGCATGTTTTTATGTATACACTGTGAGGTCACCAGTGTTGCCTGTAGTCCTCCCAGCTACATTCTTTTGTCCTTGGGTAAACATGATACAAATTAACGATGGACTGATGAAGAGATAAAAGGGAGTTACATGTGATAAATGTAATGTCATCTCACTGATGCTATAGTTTTTCCATGAAAAAATGACATATAAATAATAAAATAAATAGATAAATAAATAAATTAATTAATTAATTAATTAATAAGTAAAGAAAGAAAGAAATTGTACATAATGTTGAAACTCAGAAACATTTGTACATCTCAGGTATAGTAAACTAAACAAGCACAAAGTATTTAGATATATCTATGTCTGTGAGGAATAATTTTCTAATATACAGGACTGAGTTTCTTCTGATAAGTACACTGGACTTGTAATGAGGTCCAGATCTTCATATCTAAATATTGTACTCTTATGTAAAACAAAACATTTTTTCATGAGGTAAAAACTAACAAATTACCGTGTTTGTAATTCTCTAGAATTTTAACATCAAATTGTAATGTCCCAAAAAAGGTACTGACACACATGTACGGTAATGTACAGTTGTTTAACTTTGCAAGGCAGTTATTCTAATTTGGACTAGTTCATGGGTAATAAATTTCATACATGCCAATGAACTGTTATCCGTGTAGACAGGCAAAACCAATATTTTCTGACATTTTCATTCACTATAGAAATGTTTGCTTGTAATATCATTTTGAGCAAATGTTTATTGATCGTGTATATAGTGAAATTAAAACTAACAGGAATATACACAACTATACAACAGTACCAGATAACAAATTGATTGAGTTATTTCAATAAATAGTCGAAAATCTGATAATTTCTGAAAATTTTTCATGATATTAAGGAACATCATAAACGAAAAATATTATTAAAATGGAAGACATGATTACCTCCCTTTTCAGCAAATGGATGAAATAGGAAGATCAAGACGAGCTTACAGGTTGTTCTCACAAGCATTAACAAGTCTAACATAAAATGTCAGAAAACTGATGCCAGATCCGAAGTCAAAAGACCAGTCAAGCAAATCTGGTATAAAGAGTGAGCTGGACAAGCTAAATAAATATATTGTTAGAGGATATATCTCATACTACTGACAGTTTACATGCAACTAATTATGAATGTTTACCTCGGTCCCCATACCTACATTGTACATGCATGATCTACTATAATCCATGCCTTGTAGTAGATCATGCAGGTAGGTATGGCGACCTCTTAAACAAAGGTTTTACATTCCCAAAACCTCCAGTTGAGAGAAAAATATGACCCTTTCTGAGACATTATAGTGTTTTGTAAGCTGACCTGATGACGACCTGCACAGCAGGCTGAAACACACCAGCTGCATGGACTGATTGGAGACCTGGCTTCAGGACTTGCTTCTCTTATTTTCTATATGATCCGTTAATCTTTGAATAGCATTTCAGACCACTAGAGATCTTTGTGATATCTTGTAGAAGAACTAGAACAAATACGTGTTTATTCAGAGATTGATTCTTAGAAAATTTACTCTTTTTAGAAATTGATCTCTAATGGTTTTCATTATAACATCATATAAATATTATTTATAACATGAAAATTGTATACTTTCAAACAGTTTTGCCTTCTCTCTTACATGTGAGTGAAACTAAGCATCCAAATTTTTAAAATTTCAGCAGCTGCTTCACCTGATGACACTGATTTACAAAATATTAGCTATAAATTTCTTTTCGATAGGCTGTCATCTGAGCATCTCTGAAGGAATGAAGTATATATAGATAGAGCTGTACAAAATGTCTCATGCCACATACCCCGGTATGTACAGGATGGGTTACTTGTAGAGAGTTTAATTTCTCTTTTTTATTGTATTCAAAACTATTTCTTTGGGAAAGCCCTCCACAACCAACCTTCAGTTTGACTGCATGACTAGAATATATCAAAATTTTCTAGAACATTGGAAAATATTCAAACGTTTACAAATCATTGCTCTGCTTGATTTTTATATATATGTACTACTTATTTTAATATATAAAAAGTAAAACAAAAGAACAAAACAAATTTTCTACACACATTAGAAAAGCCCTGTGTAGACTTAGCTGGGGAGGATGTCTTTTTGAATCATTTAGGGGAGCCACACAGAAGTCCAGTAAACAATATGTCTGAAGAATGCTCTCTATCTGTGGCATCGAGAATACAACCACGTCTTTACATACCGAGCTAGAAGTTCTAATCAACTATAAGGTATAAGATCGTACAGCTATTAGTCTGGTGAGGGTCTCCATCATCAGGTAACAATCTATATGGCTGGACATGAGGGCTCAGTCCCAATCATATCAGATACATCATCGTATAAGCTTAGTTGTGAGGGTGTAAGACTGATTGTGAGGGTGTAGTCCTCAACGACATTTACATGAAGACTAAACAGTCAGTTGGGAGGACATAGTCCCTGTTATAATTACAATCGGACCATAGGCCTGTTTGTGAGGGTGAAGTCCTCATCTGAAATTATAATCAAACCATAGGCCTGTTTGTGAAGGTGTGGTCCCCATCTATAATCACAATCAGACCATAGGCCTATTTGTGAAGGTGTGGTCCCCATCTATAATCACAATCAGACCATAGGCCTGTTTGTGAGAGTGTAGTCCCCATTAATGGTCACAATCAGACCATAGGCCTGTTTGTGAGGGTGTAAACCCCATCTATAATTATAATCAGACCATAGGCCTATTTGTGAGGGTGAAGTCCCTATCTAAAAGTATAATAAGACCATAGGCCTGTTTGTGAGGGTGAAGTCCCCATCTAAAATTATAATCAGACCAAAGGCCTGTTTGTGAGGGTGTAATCCCCATCTATAATTATAATCAGACCATAGGCCTGTTTGTGAGGGTGTAGTCCCCATAATTACAATCAGACCATAGGCCTGTTTGTGAGGGTGTAAACCCCATCTATAATTATAATCAGACCATAGGCCTATTTGTGAAGGTGTGGTCCCCATCTATAATCACAATCAGACCATAGGCCTGTTTGTGAGAGTGTAGTCCCCATTAATGGTCACAATCAGACCATAGGCCTGTTTGTGAGGGTGAAGTCACCATCTATGATCACAATCAGACCATAGGCCTGTTTGTGAGGGTGAAGTCCCTATCTAAAAGTATAATAAGACCATAGGCCTGTTTGTGAGGGTGAAGTCCCCATCTAAAATTATAATCAGACCAAAGGCCTGTTTGTGAGGGTGTAATCCCCATCTATAATTATAATCAGACCATAGGCCTGTTTGTGAGGGTGTAGTCCCCATTAATGGTCACAATCAGACCAAAGGCCTGTTTGTGAGGGTGTAGTCCCTATCTATAATTATAATCAGACCATAGGCCTATTTGTGAGGGTGTAGTCCCTATCTATAATTATAATCAGACCATAGGCCTATTTGTGAAGGTGTAGTCCCCATCTATAATCACAATCAGGCCATAAGAGTGTAGTCCCCATTAATGGTCACAATCAGACCAAAGGCCTGTTTGTGAGGGTGTAGACCCCATCTATAATTATAATCAGACCATAGGCCTATTTGTGAGAGTGTGGTCCCCATCTATAATCACAATCAGGCCATAAGAGTGTAGTCCCCATTAATGGTCACAATCAGACCATAGGCCTGTTTGTGAGGGTGCAGTCCCCATTAATGGTCACAATCAGACCATAGGCCTGTTTGTGAGGGTGTAGTCCCTATCTAAAATTATAATCAGACCATAGGCCTGTTTGTGAGGGTGCAGTCCCCATCACCACATGCAGACCATAGACCTGTTTGTGAGGGTGAAGTCACCATCTATAATCACAATCAAACCATAGGCCTAGGGTGTAGTCCCTATCTAAAATTATAATCAGACCATAGGCCTGTTTGTGAGGGTGTAGTCCCCATCTAAAATTATAATCAGACCATAGGCCTGTTTGTGAGGGTGAAGTCCCCATCTATAATTATAATCAGACCATAGGCCTATTTGTGAGGGTGTAGTCCCCATCTATAATCACAATCAGACCATAGGCCTGTTTGTGAGAGTGTAGTCCCCATTAATGGTCACAATCAGACCATAGGCCTGTTTGTGAGGGTGAAGTCCCCATCTATAATCACAATCAGACCATAGGCCTGTTTGTGTGGGTGTAGTCCCCATTAATGGTCACAATCAGACCATAGGCCTGTTTGTGAGGGTGCAGTCCCCATTAATGGTCACAATCAGACCATAGGCCTGTTTGTGAGAGTGTAGTCCCCATTAATGGTCACAATCAGACCATAGGCCTGTTTGTGAGGGTGCAGTCCCCATCACCACATGCAGACCATAGACCTGTTTGTGAGGGTGAAGTCACCATCTATAATCACAATCTGACCATAGGCCTGTTTGTGAGGGTGAAGTCACCATCTATAATTATAATCAGACCATAGGCCTGTTTGTGAGGGTGAAGTCACCATCTATAATCACAATCAGACCATAGACCTGTTTGTGAGGCAGTCTTCATCAATATTTACATTAAGACTAAAAGCCTAGTTTTGAGGGCATAGTCCTCATTTATAGTTACAATCAACCTATAAGTCTGTTTTATAGAGGTTGTAGTTCCCATCAATAATGACATCCAGTCTATACACCTTGTGAGAGTGTGGTCCCAATTACTAGTTACGATCAGCCTATAGGCCTTGTTGGCATGTGTGGGTGTAATCCCCCAAATAGTCTTGTGTTGTTGTATATTGGCCAGGAAACATCGGTTGGTAAGTCCTTTATCATCCCACTACAGTACACAAAGGTTTGGTTCCAGTTGTGTTCCATCTCATACATGTATGTCATGTTCAACACCTTCCATTCAAGGTCAGACAATGTCACAGTGTGGTTGCTAAGTAACTCTTTCTGCATGTAGGACATGTTCAGGTTGGTAGCATTGATCACCACACAATTCAGAAAGGTTGCAAGTCCATCCAAATAGACTTTAAGGATGATCGCTCCCGCCAGAATCATCAGGAATGAGAACAGGAAAGCAAACCGGGTCAGGAGAACATTAACTAGGTCAGTGGAACAGACGGGAGGTTGTTGGGATTCACTGTCATCGCTACGGTGACTGGATGTGTCAGACAGTGTCAGATGATCGGCCTCCATCAACTCCTGTGTGTCGGTGGACAATGTATCTTCCTGAAGTGTGATGGCCCCTAGGTTCTGACCTGTGTCAAAATATCAACAAAATAAAATAAACAATCATCATAACATATTTGTAAACTGAAAAGTTCTGTTTAGATGGCAGATCATTCTACATCTTTCAAAATCATATAAATTTCATTTTTGGCTCGTAATAGAAAATTGCCTACCTCTGGAGGAGTGTTTAGGCAGGCCTTCCGCTACACCAGCTCTTATCTGTGCCTGTACATCAAAAAGTTTAAAGACAGTGAAATTCCAGCAATTAATATCACATTTTTCACACACATCTTTGTGCATGTTTTAACACTTCTGCTGCGATGCCCAATGATAGCTCTATCAGACAATGATAGCTGATTGGACACCTTCAATGATACCACTGTTTTATGTAGAAGTACTTAAGCACTATTAAAATCTAGTACAGTATCATGTTTTTACAAACTAGTGCTATGATGTATTCGGTTGTCAGTAAAAATTGCTAAAGATAAACAATAAATTGAAGTGACTAATTGTGCAATCATGTTTTAGAGCAATAGTTTCAGCAGGAAAAGTTCTAGAATAAAACCATACCTAAAATGTGCATGTTTACAACATATGTTTCAAGCTAGTCAAAATAATTTTGACATTTTATCAACTTTTTTATATCGCTCTGGAGTCAATCAATGTCATTTATTGACCATAGACCAATATAAATAATTGATAGAACGTCAGAATAATTTGGGCTTGTTTCAAGCATCATGGCTGAATTTTATCTCTCAACTTAAGTGTTATAAATATTCATCATCCTGACATCAAACTTGTTCTAACAAACATAAGAGGTAGTAATCGTTTAAGAGACACAAAATACCTTCGTACAATTTTTCATACTATCATTATTTAAGTAGTAACAATATCTAAATCTTAGACATACATTTTTGGACATTTCATTCAGTGCTATCCAAAACTTTTGTTCTCTTATACCTTTTCCGACTCAAGCTCCCAGTTCGTTGAGAGAATTCGAACAAGAAACACCACAGACTGAATGGCAGCACTTAGTATCACAGCCCACCATGCACCTGGACAAGAAAATACAGACACATCTTCGCACTAACAAAGCAATCAAGACTAGGTGAGAAATATGTCAATATTTTCCCATAGAAAAGTAGCTGGATGATCAAACTTCAAAGTACTTACAGTTGTTTGTAAAGATTTTAATACATATATAATATATATGTTGATGATTTCTCCGACAATACTGTAATTCATATTTTTTGTATGGGATTTTTTTTTCTTGGGAATACACGAAGAGAGCCACTTGCGAATTTAAATCCCTCACGACAAAAATTAACTTTATAGAGTATTCATGTTGATTTTATTACTGATATTGGAATCTTGAAGAGTTTGTGTCTATAAAAGCTCATTATTCAGATATAAAAAGTCATTTAAAGATCAGCATTCGCAAAATTATGCATTCACGAAAATAAAGTATTCACGAAACCTAAGCGATTTACAGTAACACACAAAGAAAATGACATCTGAGCTTGGTTGTTATACTACAGAAATAATTTCAAACTCTAATTATAGACTTGGAACCTTAATTTCAAGTTGTGGTTTTAAATAAATTTAAAATTGGAAAATGATAGATAAAGGGTGAGTATTCATTTGTATGTTTCATTGAAAAATTTCAAAAATCAAAACATAAAAGACATTTAATTCATTTGATATTCTACTAACATGAGTTATCTCGGTTGCAGAGAGTTTGGTATATAAAAATTACCATTTGTAGTATTTTGAAGATCTAGTAATTAGTGATACAGAAATATAATTAAGGTTACCTGATACACCAAGCACTGTTTCCAGAAGCAGTGGGATACCCAGAGGCAGGGCCACCAAATAGTAACACAGAAAGTTAGTGATGGCTCCGAACTTCTGTAGACCAATACCACGGATCACCCCACTACAGGCAGCCTGTAATGTAACAGCACAAACTTTAGATACTTACTCACACGCTCTGGTCTTTATTTCTTCAACTCAACACTCTAAAATTATCTGGATTTCATATTGGTAAATGAAACTTTTTTACACCTCATAATGTCAAAAATTTTGTTAATCCACCAAACCCAGCAGCTTGAAATTTACATTATCAAAAAAGATCAGCTTGTCAATAGAAGGCCTTCAATGCAATTTTCTGAAGCTTGGAAATGTGATCAATATACATTCTGTAAAACAAGTACGTTTTTTGTACAAATGTGTTTCATAATCTTTATTTAAAGGTGGCTTCTTTTGTAAAATCTTAACACAATAGTTCAACAAGGAGCCGCAAAGTGTGGCATTATCCTCTGCAGTCAGCTGTTGGTGTAAAACCCAAATATGATATATATATATACCGGTATAACAATTTGTGATGTCACTCAAAATAATGTGCCGCTTCTATCACGTTAAGATCTAATACAGTGAAAGCGCTAGTGCAAAATGTAACATCTTCTTTTGTCAATTATCAATTAAATTTCCTTGCATCTCTTCAACTTCAACATTATATATCAACCCTAAGGTTAGAGTTTATATCTTGATGTAGATCCTGTGTGTTTGACTGTGGATATTTGAATAGAGGTTGGTATTGTCCATGAACAAATTTATGTAACGCCATAAGCTGTGGTGAAATACAAGAAGTCACAAGAAATCGAAAAATTTGATGTTCTCAATAAGAAAAGGCACAGCAAGGGCACTAACTTAATATATACAGTAGGTATTGTGAAGTTGAGTTGAAAGGTTTTGAAGTTGCAGCCCAGAAATTATATGGTCTATGCTCCATATTCATTTTGGTTTCTGGTTCTCAGGGAGTTGAGAAATAGACCAGCCTCTGCTATCATGTCAGTGTCCTTAGGTAAGACACTTTACTCATATTACTTTGAATAGTATGGGTTGGATCTCCCATATGTTGTTCAGTGAGGTAGCCACCATCTTTACTACACAGAGATCCCACCTTAAAATGACCCCAGTCAATAGACAATAGGCAATAAAACCAATAATTTCAGTGTTACCAACATGGCTAAATATAATGACATTATACATTGGTACATTAAAACGTGTCTTATTTGGTTTCATTGTTTCGTTTTTTATGTGTTTTATCTGCAATGTGTAGGTAAATATTCAATTTTTGTTTTTCACAAAATCACCTCTAACAAGATGCAATAATATTATCAATCATTTCCCACTCTGAATCATGCCAATATGTAAAAATCTACGTTACCTGAACCTGGTCAAACAGCTCAAACAATGCCACCTGAATCATTAGTCTTGATGCTAGAGCTACCACTGTCCTGTAACACCAAGTATCAGACATAAGGGATCTCGGTCTTTTTAATGCTTTTTCTGTTGAAGATTTCTCTTTAAGGACAGATTTAACATCACAACATAGTTGAAAGGAACAATAAGAAGTTATCATACAACTGAGAAAGGTTTGACAATTTCTTTTTTATAAAGTTAAAAATTGGTTTCTCATAAATCCACCATCATTTCAGACAAGGAAAATATGACATTCCTTCAGTATAGTAAGAGAATTGGTTTCTCATGAACTCATCCATCATATGTGAACATGTTATGTATGGTATTTTTCAGTAAAGTTAGAGAATCTGTTTTTCGTGAATTCATCCATCATATGTAAACATGATATATATGGCATTCTTCTGCAAAGTTAGAGAATCTGTTTCTCATGGACTTACCCATCATTGGTGAACAAGTAAGGAATGACATTCTTCAGTGCCAGGAAAGTTATAGCTGAAATTACTGCTACAGTTACTGAAATGACATGTACATTTCTATCGTATTACAATACTGTAACCCATTTCCCTACTCAAACAAACAATTGACAGTACTCATTTTCAGTTTAGATCATAGGAACACAGCTTCAGGGAAATCCTACATTTTGATACAATGTGACATTGTATGATTGAGAGAATATTTAAATGGTGAAAACTATACAGCTTGGTATTGGCTGGATAAAAATGTTCCTTAAGTAGAAACACATTGAGCAGATCTATCTGTTTTTAATATGTGACCTGACCATGATTTGTCATGGTGACTTACAATGCGATTCTTAGATAGTGATCTGAGCCATGAAGTACTGTGCTGTTAAAGAAAGCAAGGAAAACCATATTATAGAAACAATTGATCAAAATGGCTTGAAAATAGGAAGCACAGGGCCATGACAGACATCCTCGTCTTTGATCACCACAATCTATTATAGGCATAGCCACTTTGAGAGGCTGTGTCAGCCAGATATTTTGGTGTACATAATTACCTGCTATAAGTATGGATACTAGAGAGGCTGTGTCAGCCCGATATTTTGGTGTACAGAATTACCTGCTATAAGTACGGATAATAGAGAGGCTGTGTCAGCCTTATATTTTGGTGTACATAATTACCTACTATAAGTATGGATACTAGAGAGGCTGTGTCAGACCTCAGTTTTTGATGTACATAATTACCTGCTATAAGCATGGATACTAGAGAGGCTGTGTCCACCTGATATTTTGGTGTACATAAGTATGGATACTAGAGAGGCTGTGTCAGCCTGATATTTTGGTGTACAGAATTACCTGCTATAAGTACGGATAATAGAGAGGCTGTGTCAGCCTTATATTTTGGTGTACATAATTACCTACTATAAGTATGGATACTAGAGAGGCTGTGTCAGACCTCAGTTTTTGATGTACATAATTACCTGCTATAAGTATGGATACTAGAGAGGCTGTGTCAGCCTTATATTTTGGTGTACATAATTACCTGCTATAAGTACGGATAATAGGGAGGCTGTGTCAGACCTCAGTTTTTGGTGTACATAATTACCTGCTATAAGTATGGATACTAGAGAGGCTGTGTCAGACCTCAGTTTTTGATGTACATAATTACCTGCTATAAGTATTGATACCCGTGAGGCTGTGAGGGCTTTACATGGATTGGCTGTTCCAAGGTGATTTCCCACCCTGACACTGGCAGCTACTGATAGGCCAAGTGGCAACTAAAGTCATAAAGATGAAATGAAATAATTTAGACAGATGAAATAATTTAGACAGATGAAATAAAGAAAGTTCTAAAAGAGTGACAGAATTATGAAATAAGTCATAAAAGAATAAATTAAACAAGTCGTAACGAGGAGATGAAGTGACCAGCATCATGTGATTTGATCTTACTTAAGTATATTCTTGTTCTATAAAGTGACACTGCCAGAGAATTGTTAAATCCCTAATGTACATGAATATTAAAAATGAACATATGTATGCCTTTTATTCAATGAATATAAGCTCTCATGACAAGCAGTCTAAATATATTGCCATCTCACACAGAAACAGGCAGAATCTGTGAACATGTGTTGAATATGAGAGTCCGAAAAAAAACTATTTGGGGCCTAACAAGTGAATATAACAATCCAGTAACCAGTACTTCAACTTTTGACCAACCAGAAGCAAGATGCTATATTTATCCTACTTCAAGACTTCCCTAACATAATATTGGGGCTGGTATCCATATTGATGTAATATCATAAAATTATAAAAATTGTGATAAATGTTATTGGAGAAATAGGTCGTTCAAAACATAGGAGAGGTTTGTGTTTCACATGAACACCAAAAGATGTTTTATTGTTAATTTTCGAAATAAGTAACATGGACACATTTATACTCTTAATTTTCTACTGGAAATTACCTCCTATAAACTCACCCAAGACATGCCAACTATCACCTACAAACTATCTCCTACAAACTCACCCAAGACATGCCAACTATCACCTACAAACTATCTCCTACAAACTCACCCAAGACATGCCAACTATCACCTACAAATTATCTCCTATAAACTCACCCAAGACATGCCAACTATCACCTACAAACTATCTCCTACAAACTCACCCAAGACATGCCAACTATCACCTACAAACTATCTCCTATAAACTCACCCAAGACATGCCAACTATCACCTACAAACTATCTCCTACAAACTCACTCAAGATATGTGAACTATCACCTACAAACCATCTCCTACAAGCTTACTCAAGACATGCAAACTATCTCCTACAAACTATCACCTTCAAATTATCTCCTACAAACTATCACCTACAAACTATCACCTACAAACTATCACCTTCAAATTATCACCTACAAACTATCACCTACAAACTATCACCTACAAATTACCTTCTACAAACTATCTCAAGACATGCAAACTATTGCCTACAAACTATCACCTACAAACTATTGCCTACAAACTATAACCTACAAACTATTGCCTACAAACTATCACCTACAAATTACCTTCTACAAACTATCTCAAGACATGCAAACTATTGCCTACAAACTATCACCTACAAACTATTGCCTACAAACTATAACCTACAAACTATTGCCTACAAACTATCACCTACAAATTATCTTCTACAAACTATCACCTACAAACTATTGTCTACAAACTATCTCCTACAAACTATTGCCTACAAACTATCACCTACAAATTATCTTCTACAAATTATCACCTACAAACTATTGCCTACAAACTATCACCTACAAACTATTGCCTACAAACTATAACCTACAAATTATCTTCTACAAACTATCTCTAGACATGCAAACTATTGCCTATAAACTATCGCCTACAAACTATTGCCTACAAACTATCACCTACAAACCTTCACCTACAAACTATCTCCTACAAACTATCTCTCATGCTTGCCTCCTTCTGCACTGCACTAGTTACACAGTAAATCTAACATTGATGCTGCTGCTATGATGATGATGATTACATCTCAGTGACAAAACAGCATTAAACCTTGTTTCATGCAAAAAGACAAATTCATATAAGAGACTTGCAAGTCAACCATTGAATCATGCAAAAACTGACATTTTGACACGAGAAAAGAAAAAAAAAGAAAATCAAGATCAAAATGACATTCATCAATTAAAATTTGCTGATAAAATATCTTTTGCTTTTTAGACAAGAACTTACCATAAATGCCATACTTGCCATTGTGTAACCAATGGAATGACTGGCAAGCTGGTCGACACCTACAAGACCTGAAAATATCACATTCACATGGAAATTAGTTTCTTGTATACATGTAACATATCACTTGACTCATTCAAAAAACTTGTTCAGCAGAGTCAAGAAAAATATAGCCTAAACCTTAAACCCTGTCTATGATCCAGTGAAAAAGACGTCCATTTTACAAAATGTTTTCTGACCTGTTGTGAAAATTAACCTTGTCAACAAATATTAAAGGTAAACAGGCCATAACAGTCAACTGCTGAACATACGCAAGTCTACAGAATTGACAATTATTTAATTACCTGGTACTAAAATTATGTCAAGGTTACAAAAAGTATTGTTATCTGTTATTCAACTTTGTTAAATTTTGAAAAAAAGCTAAGAATGGAATAAAGTATGAAGTTAAAATGAGATTTTAGCAGTTTTTTTATTGAAAGGTAGGCCTAACTGATGACAATGAGGGTAGATAACCTACCTACACAGAACATACAAGGGTATGCCTATCCGATGACAATGAGGGGAGATAACTTACCTACACAGAACATACTAAGGAAGCCTAACCTGATGACAATGAGGGGAGATAACCTACCTACACAGAACATTATGATCTCATGACTCCACCACTCTAGACACACCATACAGAGGCCAGGCACAGCCAAAGTAAGGAACATCCACCAGTCATAGAAACATTCCACACTGAAACCTAGAGCAACAATAAAAATAGATATACATGTACAAATAAAGCATCTAAATACACAACACTATGTGAAGGTCAATGCCATGGAAACGCCTGTGGGAAAGTATTCATACATTGTGGTGATAATTACACCCGGGGAAAGATTGACATTCGCTGATATGCATCTCTTTAAGAGTAAAATTTTAACCTACACTAGAAACAAATACTTAATTCTGAGAGTAAGGCTCTCCTTATCGATGCATTGTTTTGCTTTATGTTGTAAATGTATCATCAATAAAGAATAGAGAACGGAAAAATTCTAAATAGCAGTTAACATTACCAGTTAATAGCTTGTAATATTTCTTGACTTGACTAAGTAAAATGTTTGCTTAATCAACTATACAGCATACAGGGCTCTCACACCCCATTTTGGGACTAGGGCCCTGGGCCCTTAGAATTGGGAAAATAATGGTGTTTTCCTTAGAATTGGGAAAACTTGGGGTCTAAATTGGGAAAAAAGATACTATTTTGCATTGGGAATGGAGCCGAATATCGGCCCTAAATCTGGCAGATCGAGAGCCCTGGTATATGCCTTGTTTTGATACAGCTTAATCGTAATACTAACCTGCGAATTAATGTGTGAAATTTATGAATCACCAGAATTCAACAGGATTTTATGGCAGTTGCAATACAGAAAAGATAGGTGTTTTTACTTAATTTATGTTTCTCACCTGTCCAGGTATCTTCATAGGTACGTGTGACGATGATATAGGTAACATGGAGCAGGAATATAGACCAGTGGGTCAAGGTCACCGATATAGAGGCACCACTACAATACAGACAGGGATATAGAACACAGGGTCAAGGTTATTGATATAGAGGTACCACTACAATACAGACAGGGATATAGAACACAGGGTCAAGGTCATTGATAAAGAGGCACCACTACAATACAGACAGGGATAAATAACACAGGGTCAAGGTCATTGATAAAGAGGCACCACTACAGTACCGAAAGGGATACAGAACACAGGGTCAATGTTATTGGTATAGAGGCACCACTACAATACAGACAGAGATATAGAACACAGGGTCAAGGTCATTGATATAGGGGCACCACAACATTATCGAAAGGGATATAGAACACAGGGTCAAGGTTATTGATAAAGAGGCACCACTACAGTACCGAAAGGGATACAGAACACAGTGTCAATGTTATTGATATAGAGGCACCACTACAATACAGACAGGGATATAGAACACAGGGTCAAGGTCATTGATATAGAGGTACTACAACAATACAGACAGGAAGGGATATAGAACACAGGGTCAAGGTTATTGATATAGAGGCACCACTACAATACAGACAAGGATATAGAACACAGGGTTAAGGTTACTGATATACCGGTAACAGTAGGGAAATATAGAACACAGAGTCAAGGTTATTGATATAGAAAGGGACAACTACAATACACACAGGGATATATAACACAGGGTCAAGGTTATTGATATAGAGGTACCACTACAATACAGACAGGGATATAGAACACAGGGTCAAGGTCATTGATATACAGGTAACAGTAAGGAAATATAGAACACAAGGTTATCGTTATATAATTAGACAAGTGGGTCAAAGCCACATTAAGATTGATGAATTTTCTAGTTGGCTTATTGTCAGGGTTATTTTGAGACAATCTCTTCTCAGTAGATGGTAAATGTATCACTTGACATTACACCAAACACATATTTGTTGTATCTTACTGAGTTTTAATCAGGAAAATATTATAACTATGATGTGCAAAATTTTTTACTTTTAATGTGTATTATCTTCCACTTCAATCTAAATTTGGGAAATTGAATACTACTATACAGTAAATATTACTAAATGGGACAAATGAAGTTACACTAAAGGTAAAATGCTTACACAATATCCAACTTCAGCATAAACAAAAACAGGGTGTGGAATCCAACGTTGAGAAAGTTAGCGACAATTCCTATTACCAAACTTGGTATCACAATACACTGAAATATATAACAAGTTGGTGACAAGACAAGCTGAAATCTGAAACTGAATGGCTAATGTAAATGATTTGTACAGTCTACAGTAGGTTTTGTCAACATTGCAAACACAAAGATGTAGTATCTATATTACATTCTGCATTTGTGTAAGATAAATATAACAGTTGATCTAGAAAAATACCGTATATATACATCGATATTTATATATTACATGATGGCCTCCCATTAACCCAGTATTATTTTGTATTGTATTCACAGGAGTATAGATGCAGTCTGGACTACAGGATAACAACATGACATCATTTTGGTGCCATGTTGACTGACGTTATGTCGATGCTTTGCGTGTCGCCTCAGATAACATGCATTAGAGATTTACATTAATAATAGCTGATTATAATGATTTTCCAGTTTGTTACTATACAGTGATGAAAAGTATCAAGAAAATACCAACATGGCAACACAATCATAATTCAAACTCAAATCACATAAAACTAGGGCAAAATATGAACAAAATAAAGATTTACAATGAGACTCCTGAAGGAGAATAAGACCACATGTTCTGGAAGAGTAAGCGTCTTCTGCTTCATCGACGACAACCGCCATGTAAACCTTGGTGAATCCAAGTAAGTAATGTCACATTCTCAAATTATAGAAAATTACACAACAACCCAACCAACACACAAACTAATAAGCATCAAATATGTTCAGCTTCATGTCACACAAAAAATAACTTGAAAATAATTTTAAATACCAAAAAAAAAATGATATCATATAAAACTTGATGCAAATCAATATATGTTATCATAGTCATATAAAAAAAATTGTTTTAACATTACATAAACTCTTGACATAAATGACAATTTTTATCTCCTAAGCAAAAGTATGAGCCATTTGTAAATGTCTATATACCTGAGCCTGGAGATATTTAGACAGAATATCAGAGTAAGCCACGGCCTGAAAGGTAAAAGAGTTAGCTGTGAGAATCATAACCAGTGTGTTTAAAACTATATTAACACTATTGAGACAAGAAGGGCATTTTTAAGGTTCACATAAGGACTAATATCAGAGAAATACTCCATAAATTGGAAACAAAAAGCACATGTTATCACATGGATGAAAATTATAATTAAATACAAAATATTGTAGATCATAGCCTTTTTTTCACAAGAGAATGTAACAAAGTTCATGTGATTATCTTCCATACACTTCGGTTGAATAGAAACTCTAAGCAGTAAGATACACATACAACTATATAATGACAATTTGGTAAGATTTTACTTAATAACACTTCTCTTTAGTTTTGATAAGGGTCCTGGGATATGTCATTCAACATTAATGGCTTCTGTGTAGTATTATTCATTGACACATTCACAGAGTCAAAATGGGCCTGGTATGTACAAGTGAGACATTAAGAAATCAGATAACTGAAGTTTGTTTGAGGCGTTTACAACCCCATGAACCACACAGGCTAATTTTGTGGCAGGTTCTCCTTGTAATAGATAGTTGCTACCCCACAAAACAACAAGAGAAAGACCTGTATGATGCCATCCAGAGCAATATGAGCAAAAGTGTTTTACCCAAGTACACAAACACGCCAGTACAGATTAGCTGCTTTTTCAGCTTCCTGAGAAACACAATCCCCAACGTGTAGTGAGCATCAAACCTCACACCTTGGTCCTTCACATGAGACTTCAAAGGTGCAGCACACTACTGCCTTAGCAATCACAACCCCTCATTTTTCAACCGATTAAAGAATAAATATATATGAATATTCATGTGAATTTTACTTAGAAGGAAAATTCCGCACAAGTTAGGATTTCATGAGGTGCTTTTGAAAAAAAAACTATACAAAACCATCTACTTATGATCTTAAGGAAATTGTACACCTCAGTTTATCAATTAAATAAATATATATTTAATTTGCAGAAATTCTATATAGATCTAGTTTGATTGATTTACAAACATTCACACGGCCCTGATTGTCATAACAGGTTTACATTGTTATAAGTGGAACAGAATGAAACATCTGTGTAAATTCTGAAATCATCGGAAAAATAAGGCTAATGATGTAATAAAATTGTAATCCCATCAGAAATTTAAGTGAACTGCATACACACTTCTGTAGTGAGCCAGTACTCTGCATAAAATTTATGATCAGTGCCAGATATGTTTGGAAAGTCTGGCTGGGAGTTTTCCAACCGATTTCACCACACTGACCTCGAGAGAGATATTGTGATGTTATCAATAGTTTTAAAAGTCATTAGAGTGAGTCCTGTCAATGTTCAAAACAGCTCGAAATTTTACAACTGGGGTGGATATATATCCCTTTAATTGTGTCACTGACTGCTTGTTCAAATGAGATGTCTGTCCTTGGTCAGACGTATGATTACAAAAATAACACTTAAAGGAAAATATAACAAGATATTTGTTGACACTTACAGGCAGGCCAGCTATATATATTAAGGCATACTTCCCTCCAAGTCTACAAAAAAAAAAAATTTTTAAACCATTTAAAAATGTTTTTCAAATATAAATGATTTTTCTCAGAAATAGGATACACTACTATTAGAATATTTATTGTATCTGTCACCTGCTATTTATCAGAGAATCAATGCCACGAAAAAAGTTTTATATGAAAATATAGAATATGTTTTGAACCCTTCTTTCAAATCAAAATTACGAGACAGAATTATAGAATGATTAACGATAATACAAACCTTGCCTACCTTTTTCTTTGTAAATTTGTTGCAATCTTCTGATATCACAAGAGATATTTGGAACTATTTCACATGTCTATAGATAGATAAATGTACACGTACCTGGCAACCCGAGGATCTTGTCCAATGTATTTCATTATATGTTCAGTGTTGATAAGGATGGCACAACATGGCAGACAACACAGACTCAGGATTATTAAGCCTGGACAAATACAAACAAAACAATAATTACACTTACATCATAGAATCAATGATTTACATCTACATGGCTAAACAGATGGAAAAGTGTTCGGGAATGTGATATTTAATGGGATTCTACATGTGTTATACAATAATCTTTAAACACTTTATTTTCTGATGCTCAAAACTTGCGTAACCTTTACTAAACAATGACAATGACAAAATGATGACAAGAGATCTATGGGCCTTAATGGTCACTTGAGGTCTTCAGGCCTTTGGACAATTTTATAACCTAGCCATCAGTTGAAGTATTGGGGCAAGAAGAACAGAGCTGATATATGCTAACAAAGTTTTTATACTGTTTCTGTGTTTGAAGGTTTAATTTTCAAACAGAACTGATAACACTCTTTGCAACTCCTGTGACATTGAATGAAGGTCAAGGTAATTCATTTTAACAAACTTGGTAGCCCTTCATCCCAGCATGCTACTGGCCCAATATCAGCACCCTGTGTCTTTTGGTTATTGAGAAGAATTCATTTAAAGTTTTCAACACATTTTACCCCTGTGACCTTGAAAGTGGGTCAAGGCCATTCATTTTGACAAAGTTGGTAGCCCCTGGTAGTAGAAAATGTCAACTGTTTATGATGCACAATGAACCCCGGACAAAGCACACCAGACGACGCAGAACAAAAGGCGATCACAATAGGTAACTTGAGACTTTATCTCAGGTGACCTCAAAACAAGGATAATGCCAAAACAATAAAAATTTGTAGAGTATGGATCAGGAAACTCTTGTGTACTGTATGTAATACATTATGATGATGATTGGTGGTCTTTCTACACAGGTCAGGAAGTTCACCAGTACTGTATGTATAGCAGTGTGAAGACAAATGATGGTCTCTATACACAGGTTAGAAGTTTGTATGTACTGTATATATTGTAGTATGATGAAAAACGATCTCTAAACACAGTTATGAAATTCTATATACTGAAGGTATTGTACATGTAATATGAAGATTATTTAAATGTCAAAGCGTTACTTACTTCTTTGTAGTATTATACCCACTCGATGTTTGTTTTTACTTCCAAACGTCTGAAACAAACAAATCACAGTAGACACTGAAATAAAATAAACACCAATATCCAACCAGTAGTCTGTAAATACCACAAACAGAATTTTAGGTTTGATAACTAGGTCTTCAAAAGACTTAGTAACTTAATCTGTTACTTATCCGTCAATGACTGTGTATGCTTTTTCATCATGTTTTTAGCTCTAAATATAACAAATCTTGTACAATTTACCTGAGAGAACAGTGTATCACAAGCTGAAGCCAGTCCCAACATTACTGAATTACTGGATACATTGATTACCTGAAGTCAAAACAAAACAGAAAACAACATTTAACTTAATACAATAGAAAGTATATTCAAGACAAAATATTACACATGGTATTGTGTTATCTTAAAAATACATACATGTAAGATACAAAAGTACATTATTAATTCTTTTTAATGAAATTTAAATAGGTCTTGACAAAATTACCCAGGGGTGTTAATAATGTTTTGAAATTGCACACATTTATTTTGTACATCTCACTCTTTTTTCAATTTTAAATTTCATATACTTTGTAACATGATGGTGAATAGGGTTGACAACAATAGATCCCAAAGGATCTTGGCATCCACCAGTTTGATCTTCATTGGTATTCTTTTTAGAAGTTGGATCTTTTAAATTGTTTAAGGAAATTTCAATAGCAGATGATGGGCTAAATGTACTTTTTAACTTCAAAATTTGGACTGATTTTCTCCCCAATTTTTCAATTTTTGTCAACATTTGAAATATTTGGTCCTACATCTAAGATTGTTACACGATTTTTGGGTACCGAGTATCATATCAGATGAGATCAGTAGTTCCTTTGTACTAGAAATGCTGAATATTGATAAGCAGAGAATAAAGTGATTCCCTTTCAGTTACCTCACAGCATCAGAATAGTAATGTCTTTTGAGTTCTCCTCTTGTGAGTACACAGCCCTATGTATGACAAAATTTCCTTATCCAAGGGTACATGCCCTTAGCCACCATAAAAAGTTCTAAAAATTCATACAAGTATACAATATATGAAAAAGCAAATAAAAAAACATATGGACAAACAAGAAAACATTTAGAATTGATGAAAAAAAAAGAAACGAAAAATCAACCATATGAATACTGATCTGTGAGAAAATGCAAATGTATCACATGCAACCGCAGGTGAAATCTTCTCATCAAATAATTCTGCATACTCTTACTTTATGTATATCATATATGTATAAATTATATATATGGTTTAATTTATGTAGATTGTACATAATTAATGTATAAAATGATATATGTATATATATGTAAATATGTATTGTATGTAACTCTTCATAATGTATGTATGTAAAATGTATATTGTGAGTGGTCTCGTGCTTTAATTTCGAGTCAAATTTTCTTGGTTTTGTTTTTGGAAAACCAAAAATGAATAAGAAATTCACAAATTATTTTGTATATTCCTTGTTAACTACATACAAATATCAATTAATTCATTGCTTGAATGTTTAATATATTTTTTTTTTCAGATATTTTGTGAAAATAAAAACCTTATGAGATTGAAGTGTTGCAAAACACTTGTTAATATTTAATAACATACCAGCATCTTTAGCATTTTAGGTACTATAGCAACAGGAAGAAGAATAAGACACTACAGTTTGTCTTGTTATGGGAGATAACTCTTGAATCTCCTACATGTACTTACACTCGAAAAGTGTGACAACACCGTCTAATCCCAGCATAATAATGTAATGACAGATGGACAGCCTGAACAAAAAAAAGTTGAGTAAGAAAATGAAAAAAAAAAAAAATACATAGCATGCAACAAGACAGCAAAAAGCCTATAAAGTTGAACAGTCTTTATAACACTTACAGCACATATACGACACATGCTCTCATAAATAAAGGCTGAAACATTAATACAATAGAAAACAAATGCAATAAGGATTACAACAGAACATGCTGAGAACAATTGTCAAATGGCTTGGAATCACACTTGAAATCTATACTCTTTTAATGCATCCTCAAAGGATTTGAACCCAGGTCTTTTGATTTCTTAATCTGATTCTCTACTGAATCAGCAAATGAGACAAAACACAAAAGGAAGCAGCTAGTGTTGTAAGATGTCATTATCTGTTAAAAGTTATCTGCAGAACTGCCTGTAGTAATATCAATATTTTTATTGTAAAGTAAAAATATATTAAGCACTTGTTCCAAATTTCTCAAAATTAACAAATATGTGAAAAAAAGAAAAAATCACAACTCCTGACATAAAAACAGAAAACTACAAAATGAATAATTTTCTGTTAGTTGTCACAACTGATTGATAAATTTTGTCATCAATGGAATTGTCCTATATTTTCTGTAATAGTAGAATCATGCAAAAATAGAATTTGTAGAATAGTTCAGATAAAAAAATAGAGTATAATACTGACTCCTAGCATTTTGATATGATAAAATCATGGAAATTCATTTATGCAACAGAAACTTAGACATACACGACACCTACATACACATATATTGTCATGCATTTGTCATGCTCACTTACTGTCGTGGTCAAGGCTAAAGCGGCCAGTTGGGGAGTACCAAGATGACCACAGAAAATGAGACTGACCAGTATGTTGATGTACTGTGTGGCCATAACACCAACCTAAAAATCAAACACTTCTTTTTAAGTACTGATGATATCAGCACCTGCCATAATATGATAATTTACACTATGACTAAATCTGAAATTTGGAATTTTTTTTGTGAATCAGTTAAACATGTTAAAATAAAGCATTAACACACAGTAAGGCAGGATTTAAAGATTCTTACAATGTTTCCAAAATATACCTGTAAGAAAATGCTAATTAAGAACTTTGTTGAACTTAATTATGCAGATACATGGCAGAAGTATACTAGGTTAGGCAAACTAGTTCCAATGGATGATACCAATATCGTTGCTCTCTTTTCTGTTTCTCCTTTTACAATTTCTAATATACAAATCTAAAATGTAGTGATGTATGATGATCTTAACTGTTTGATGGTTATTAGAAATGAATTTGACAAGATTTTACACATTGTTTCATGTACAATATATTACTTACAATTGGCCAGCCTATCTTTACTTGTTCTCTTATCTCATCTTTACATCCAAATGGAAACAGCTTTTGATAAAGGGAGGTAACTCTCTTGGACCACGGCCAGCTTCCCCGCCACAACTGAACCATGTGCCGATACTGCTCTCCGATTGTAGCTGTCAAAGTATAGTTTAAATAATGACAAGAGATATATCATTTCATAAAATAGTTTCATTAGAAATCAGAATAATTCTCGCTGTTACTAATCAAGGAATATTCCAAAGTCAGATTGATTATCAGTGAAGAAATTAGGTGAATTATTGCAGCAATCATAATGTGTTTAAATTTTTTAGCGTCTGTCCAAATACGCTATCAATATTTCCTGATATTGACTGCATTCTCATAGTAAAATTCACTGACCACGACATGATGTCCTCTGGTCACCACGAGGAAGGAAGGCCAGATGGTCAAGGGAGTGTTCTCGGTCTCCAACTGGTGTGATGTCATCAGTAAACAAGGTCAGGGGAGTGGTCATTTCTGTTTCTTCAAGATGGTCATTATTGTCAAACTCTCCGGACACTGACTTGACCATGAAGCTTTGACGGGCCAGTTGATCTTCTTGACCAGAATCATCCATGTTTGCCTTACCACTGGAAAAGCTGAACTTTTAGTCTGTAAACATAAAAAATATGTATTAATTCCTATGTAACAAACCAGCTGAAACATGTCAACCTACAATAAAACACAGAATTCTGATGTTGATGCTACATCTTCTTTGTCAAAAAATCTTTATAATCATGAAAAAACAGATAACTGGTAAATTTTGGGACACAATAAAAAGGAATAATAATTACATACTCAGAGTTTTAGAAACTATCGCACAAAAGTAATTATTTTAGGTAGAAAATGGTGGTAAATTTCTCATTTACTTGATATGACAGAGCCATCAGCTACCAAAAATATCTCTATATCTCTATCAGATCTTAAGTCTGCAGCTGATTATGAAGAAGTAAATATATCCTTGAGGTATACAAATGTAGAGGAACAGAACTGTGTCAATCATCAGCAACAACGTTAGCTCAATTGAATTGGTAGAGTATCCATCTATAGTTTGGAGGGTCCCAGGTTCAAACTCCTATCTGGTCATGTTTTTGTTACACTCTTTTATAGGTGAAATCTAGACCTGAGTTGTAAGCAATTAAGTTTACAGGGGCGAAGACTTAAAAAGTGGAACAGGACATAGTCGGTTGTTTGCAACCAGGTAGCTCTATGGGTGGAGCATAAGGCTACAGTTTGGGCAGTTCCAGGTTCAAGTTCCAGTCTGGCTGTACATTTTGGCAGTCCTATTAAATATATCTAAAGTGTGTTAGAGTAATTTCAAAATGACTTTGATGAATACAACACATTGTAATAGACTGTATTTTGATCATTTAATAATACACTTTGCATTTTAGCTTTGGAATTCCAGTATCTCCATACTTTGTTAAAACCATGAGTCAATGACATCACAATTTAAATCATGTGAACTAGGAAACTGGAAATCAACTTCTTTCAAACAAGACAGTTGGCTTTTGATTAATAAAGAATCAAAACAAAAGGGGGAGTGATATAAATCCCAGTAATCAATGTAATGTTCATCCTCGATCCTCCAGTGGTAACAATCACTTTTGCTCTCTGCACAACTGTCATGGTTCCATGTGAGCTTTCATGTAAAAAGACTAGTCTGATCATTTGATGAACATAGACGAATCTGGAGGTCACATAACAGTTTATTGTAATGACTTTGAAGTTGGGTGTCAGTCCTTTGTAATCTTCAAAAGGAGTGTATCAGCCTGTGATTGTTCAGTTTTTCTCTCCTGGAACCAATCAAATTACTTTGCTTTTGTCTTCAATTTTGCCATGACATGTTCCAGGAGTGCAGAGAGTAACAGTATTGAGGATGTATACTGTTACATCCCTGTACAGTTACAGCAGTGAGACAGCTGAGATATATCATATAACTTATTGGATAACATGCGAAGTGTCGCTATTACGAGATCAGCATTTCACATTTTGAAGCAGTTTCTTCTGATTTCTGACACTATTATCACATACAAATATAATTAGCTAAAATAACACACACAAATCCATTAAGATTTCAGGTAGTTGTTCAATAACACGATATCTTACCATCACTGTACAACATGTCAACTAGTTTTCACCAACAAACAGTCTTGAATCGGCCAACAATAAAATGTGATTGACACACAAATATATCTAATGATAAATGCCTCCTTTATAACATTGAAGTTGAAACTGAATATGGATACAGCATATGTGAATTGTAGTTAAAACATCCGATATCGTATTTATAATTACCAAACGGTCATTATGGATAGCATAACGTCTCAAGTATAACGATAACTAACATCTATTTCATGGCTGCAACTTGAAACAGATGCTGGAGGTTTTTCCAAGCCAGGGGAAATAACTCTTTTTTATCATTTTTTTTTAACTTATGCAAAATTCCAATTCACAGATCCCTACTGATCTTAAAATAACAGGAGAAAAGACAAACTTTAATGATTAATCATCCATCGTTAATGACGAAGCAGTGGCGTAGAGAATTAATCGCCGTTTATTCAACTACTAGTATTCCGGATATATACGAACATTTGCTTTTTTATTATAATGTTTCAGATGTCTTAGTCGGTGGAATGCTTTTTTGGGTTGGTCGTGGTAACAAGTTCATCTTTCTCAGTTCGACGCTTCCTTCATCTATAGCGAGGAAAGCGAGTGGTACTCCAGTTCTGGAGGACAAACGGGGATGTCAAAGTTAGTGCCATTTTTACGAGGTGTGACCCGCAAAGGGTCATCATCTGGCACAATGTATATTGGACATGTTGTGCAAAGGGGTGTCGCAAGACCAGACACACTGAAAGTACAGACAAACAAGATGATTCTTGACAGAGATTTGAAAAAAGTAAGTTGGGGATGTTCGTTTACTTAAAGCAGCTGTAAGACATGAGCTCATTTGCATTGGGAGACATACTGTAAAGTATTTATAAACTGATATCATAATTAGGAGCGAAGCTCTCAAATGACAAGAGAAAATGTGTATTTATGCTGAAACTGAACAGAGTTAATTCCCGTCCCATTTTAGATCGAGAAAAATTAAGAAATAAAAGTAAGTATATATATTGAATGATTCAATTATCCGAAAATATTAGAGATTTCAGTTACATTTTTTAATTTCACACAGTGAATTAATTTAAATAAATACAGGAAACGAAGCAGAATGGACATTGTATAACTTATACTTGTCTTACAATTATTACAAAATAGATAAAATAACTGAAGACTAATTAGAATACGTATATCAATTGGGTAGAAACCTTCATCATTGATGTCCATATCTGATGCTACTTTGTGCAGTCGTACTTCAAACTGCTTCTTTCCCAAGAATTTTGGCAACAGTTCGTCCCATGTGTTTTTATACGTCACAAACATACATATAGTATTACAAACACTGTCATAATAAAATCTATAAATGGTTATCTTTTTATTGGTGACCATAAAGTTTTTAATCAGTGTGAACATTATCCAGCGTCCTAATTAATCATTATTCATCATATTTATATTTAAACTATTACATGTTTTGTTTATTTATTATTTTTATTTCATTTTTTCCTGAACATCTGCTTTGAGGATTTCAAAAGGGTTATACATGCCACAGGCACTTGTACCTGGAATATAAACACAAAAAAAACCCACAGTCCACTTAATAACATACCGCAGACTCTCTATCCAAGTGCAAGTCAAGTGTTGTGTACACACCAAGTGAGACACATTTTATTAAAGGTATTTTATTACTTATCTTCTTTTTCAGTATTTCTCCAATCGAAGGTTCATATGGGCTGAAGAAAATTCCATGGACTGTCTTATTGGTGACATTGTGTTGCTTAAATCACTTCCAAAAAGTGAGGAGAAAACAAGAGTGACACATGAAGTCGATCGTATTGTGTTCAAATTAGGATGTGTGATTGATCCTGTCACCGGTCGCCGTTGCAGGGGGACAGAGTTTGTGGACGAGGCTGATGTAGGATCAGAAAAACCATTAGTGATTGAGGAAATAAAATGATAGAGAATTATGAAAGCACTATTGTAATGATATGTATTTTGAATATGTAACAAATGAAAAAATTGTGATTTGTTATATTGAAATACCAGATTTAGAATTCCAAGATAATACAGCGATGCATTGACTACACAAAATTATTACAGCTTCAGTGTATATGCGTAGGTGAATCAATAGTATTTATACATACTAAATCTGTTAGTTTTCTTGACTATGTCAAAATCAGAAAGCTGTACAATTGGATGTGAAATAAAGACTATCAATACATATAACTAATTCACAATAAGCATCTACATGTGTAATGTACATTTTACCTCATTAATAAGAGTGACTGAGTGTGTGCAGATTTTTACTTACATGGTGAAAAGTATTAAAATATACAAAAAAAATTTGTATAAAAAGTAAACTTTCTTGTTGTTTCTCATTCTTTTATTATTAAACTATGAAGACAAATAAGTCAGTGAGCAATGAAGTATCATGCTCTTTTTAATCTACTTAAAATTCAGAAAACTTACTTTGCTGGAAATAATTTGAATCTGTTGACAATTTTTTTCCCATGATATGTTAATTGAATCAGGTTACAGAAAAAGAGGAAACAAAACATAACACTGTCAACAAAAATGGCGAGTTATTTCGTTCCGCTGTATTGGTGATTAAGAAATTTTTAAACCAATGTATAATTTACTTTTACCAGACATCACTGACCAAAATGTTGATTTTTTTTTATGCTCATTTAAATTTCACATGACTGAACGCTGTTAGTATTCTACTTTGTTCGTTCTTTATCAGCCATGGTTATTGAGAATTTATGTAAATGATTAAAGGGACATCACAGTAACAATTTTATTTACTGAATTTTTTTTTTTTATTATTGCATTTATATACCAAGTGTATCACCTCATGAACAATAACAGTTTTTGCTGAAATATGAACTTAATAGGTTAATTGCAAATTATGAAAAGGAAATTCTTATTTGTAAATCAACAGTCCGGATATGTACATTTTTATGTCATATATGATAATGTATGCACACAAATTACTGTCGCCAATAAACAAAAATGGCTTTCCTGAATGGGTTGAGACAATGTCTCTTATTTTGTTATTCTGAATCAACTTGAAAGAGTTATCAATTATCATTTGCCACAACCATAACAAAATCTGGTGCTGAAAAGCATGATTTTACTCACCGTGTCACAGCTGTCTTATCATTTGTGCGTGTTTACAAAAATGAACTGCCTTGTTTTTCAAAACTATAATGTAACGTTATCGGCAATAAATTTGAGAGAGGTTTCCTGAACCAAAGAGGTGGTCAAGCTGGACATTGGAAATGAACTGTGAATATTGGGAAAGCAAAGAAACATAACTGAAGGTATAAAAATCATGTACAATCAATTACAAAATTTTTGTTTTTATCATGATGTTTGTTTAATATTTTAGTTCAAAACTTCATATGAAGTTATCATGTTTATTGTTGTTAAGGAAAGAAAGGATAAATCTGACATCCATACAAAGTGTTATTACAGGTCTCTTTCCTGGCCTTGGCTAGTGGTAAATTATTTTAAGTTACTTAGGTAAGCAGGGCCATACATTCAGATTTTGAAGTGTTGTCTCACAATATATAATTAGCTATGTGTCAGGTTTTTAAAACAAATTACATGCCACTCTTTACAACACTGTATGTGCATTTGCTTTGCAAATTAATTACTTTGTCTTTAAGTAAAGTTCATGTCAAAAGTTTACAGCTTTTTCCAGCTAGTGCAAATCTTCTGTTAGTCAGACAAAAAATGTTGGTTTGTTTTGTACACCAAATATTTGAGTCTTGGACTTGTGCTTTTCCTGTGGGACTAGCCAAGATGAACCAACTTAAGTGATGGAACTCATCAAAATTTAGAGAGCAATTCTTGGCATGTCTTTAAATATCCCTCACAAAACATTTCAGATTTTTACCACAATACCTTCAGGATCAATAGATCACCTTGCAAGTTGGTCCAAAAAAAATATATGTAGTCATTCCTTTTTAAGTGAAATCTGGTTTAAATAGTAACAGTTAGTATAATGTTACTGAATGCAAAGAAAACAAATAATGCAGACTCTTGCAAAAGACAAAATACAACAAACAAAAAATTGCAAGTAAATTTCATTTGAATTTTACTTCATCATCAACATTTTAAACAATTATTGTAATACAATGTATATAAATTATTATATCTGAAGAACAACTGAAATATAACTAGGTAGAAAACATATTAAAATCAACACTACTAAGTATTTAGTACAGCTACTGTCAAAATTAATAAAATTTCAACTGAACCTTCACTGCTAATTATATTTAATACCAAATTATACAAAAAATGTTTTGTACTGAAGAATGATTATCAGCAAACTAGAACATAAAACGTCAGTAGATCTTTGTGTATCGTTGATATCATGACCTTAGTTGTTTCATTCTCAATGTTACTTAATGTTAACCATCATTTGTTTGGCAAGGCTTTAAGTTTAGATATGTCATGAAAGTATAAGTGAACACTTTCTGAATACTTATCAGCAAAGTGGAAAAACAATAGTATATAGTATCGTATAAAACAGAACTTTTTGCATCATGAAATGATGTTCACATACTTTTCGTTGAAGGCGCTTGAGACAAATGTTAAGCTCCACTTATGACTTCCTTACAGGTTGTCCATTAAAAGAGGTAAATAACAACTGACTATTAATAAAATTTATACCCAAGTAAGTGTGGGTGGAGTTGAAAATGATAAAAAATGTAGCTTCATGTTCAAGAACACAATCACAATGTGATGGATCTGGATTCATGATCTTGAAATCATGTACAAGTTAGCCTTGCTTCGGTGCCCTCAAAGGATATTCAATATCGCAACAGCAAGAAAATATTGTCATCGCCTACTAGTTACAAAATATTACAAAGTATGTTGTTTGAGAACATGAAATATGCAACCCACTCAATATGGATAGTCAAGAATTATATATATATTCAACATGAAATTAAGGTGAAATATCATTTCTCTCACACATGTACAATACATTGTATATTCTATTTTCATTTGCACACATTCAATCACTCTGTCAAGGTTCATTGATATAAAAGAAATCAGAATTTAGTTCACTAACACATTTTGTTGATATTAAAACCAAGTTAACATTCTTTCTTCCATGCTCTCATTTTCACCACATCATCACAAATTCTCCAATACTCCTGAGTGGACATCTTCAAGCACTTAATGATAGTTTCTTCAGCCTTGCCTTGTATATAGTCATTATCACTGCACTAACATATCATTGTTATAAATTACTAGGAGTAACATTTCATTTCTGAGAAACAGGAATGGTGTTTATAGAAATTAGTCATAGGCTGTTTAATGCTACCAAGATCTCCATGGCAGGATTATCTCCCTTGATCCTTGAGACGCCATCAGACCAGTTACACTGAACATTTCGTCTGTGATAGTTGGTGTCCTTCCTATTATCAATTCAGCTACATGCATGCCTTAAACATGATGGGCTTCAGTAATATTCACTCCACATTGTTCCTTAAGCTTCAACAGAGCCAGACTGTATACCATCAGGAAATATTCTCTCAGACAGCGTAGATTTCATTTGTTTCATTAAATAAATATGGTTTGAGTATCCTCAATTCCGCAATGCTTGTAATCTGAAAAGAAATTAGCATAATCAAAAAACAAATTACAAATCTACCCTTATAAACCAAACCAATGAACTATGAAATTTATTAAAATGGAAAACATGATGCGATGGCAAATGATAAGAAAATGAAATCAAATTGTGATGGACTTATCACAATTATTTCTTAAATATTGCAACATTTCCTTTCATTTATCATAACTTTTATGACAATACACAATTTATATTTTTATCTTAACAATGTAAATGGTAATCGCATTAAAACTAATCTTTGTCCCCTAGCTGCTGATCAAGTACTAGTCACCAATTTTATAAGTAACATTTTGGCTTGTATTTGTAAAATATCTGACCGCTGAAAATAAAAAACTGTACAGGTATAAGTAAAGTTTCATTTATTCATTTATCACTTAAGGCATTTATCACTTAAGACATTTGTCCTTATATGGACAGAACATGTCAAAATGATAGCGTACATCAAGAATTTTTTTTTGATAATGGTAAAGATGAACATTAAGGTAGAAAATGAAAAGAGAAAAAATTTGCTCATTCAATAATCTTCTGATCAATAAAAAAATTATCACTACTACTAGAAATAAGACATGAGTGCCGCCACTCCTAAACAAGAATCTGGTGTAGAACTTGATCTTCTGATACAACGGGGTAAATATTGATAAAACCTGTGAGGTGTTCTCAGGTATGATGGAAAGGGATCAGACATAAAGTGGATAACACTATACATACCCCACCCATTAAACAGCAGGATCATTGAAATATAGAAATTACTGATACAATTTTTGTAAACTTTTGAAGTCATACCTGCGACTTAGGTCATCCTCTCGTGCATGTTCCTTTTCCTTGACCTTGACTGAGTCTTTGGCCACACTGAGGTCACTTAACTGATCCATCATTTCCAGACCACTCTCTTCAGCAACTTGTTTGATAAGGTCATCTACTTGTTCTGTGGGTGCGGAAAGTGTCGTGGCATCGCCCATCGTGTTTTCTAGTGTCTAAACAAATTCAATTCAGTTTAATTCCACAACATCAAAACAAATTCTAAATTGCTAAATTGGTATATGATAAAGTAGTGATTAATATCGTACAGATATTGTTATACAGTGGAACCTGCTTAATATCATGTTCCATTTATAAGGGGGAAATGTGATAATCAGCAAAATGTGACATTAACAGTTGACACATTTTTGGGATGTCTTAACCCAGATGATGTGCCAAACTGACTTGTTTCAAACAGAAATGATTTGATGACAAGAAATATGTATTTAATTTGCTTCTCCCATAAGAACAGCGAGTTTCCTTATCTTTTGTTTTTGTTTATTCTTTTGAATATCTAATCTGTTAACATATATTATCATGAACAGTCATATGTTCTGATATATATATACATGTATCAGATTCGTCCCGTGTGATCAGAATGATCTCATAATGGAACGAGGATTGATTGTAGCTAAAAGTTTGAAACCTGTGTACCGGTATTTGTACAGCAAGAAGTTACAATATCAATTAAAAATCCCACTTAAAATCAAACTCACACAAGCTTAAATCACTTACCGATGTCTGAACATCAAGATCTTCAAACTGTCTCTCAAACTTCTGCATCACTTTATCAACCTAGATAAAGAGAGACTTTTTAACATTCAAAAACATCAGGAATACATACAATGAAAAAACTACTGTCAAATTTTGTGAATAATCCTGTCACCTCTCATGCTGTTATATAACGATATCTTTCTGAAGTCATGTCTCCAAATCAATGTTTTCTGTCTTATATAACTTATATAAATAGTTAAACAATAACAATAATTGAAAATAATACACCTATATCACAGTTCTATAGGAAAGTATACTTGCCATCTTCATTTCAATGAAATATACACTAGAAATTGTGCCCTATGATGTAATGTCATTTACGCTTCTATAAATGCCACTTTTGATTATTCATTGAAGTCACAAACCGATATTGGCATATTAATGTCAAAGACCTTTGCATACAACAAACTAACCAATAAACTTACCTCAGCTAAATTCATGGAAGACATTGCTTTTTCTAAGGACTTTGATACACCTTCAATACCTTTCACCATCTGACAGAGAAAGTACAATAAGCACATCAACAGATATAGGGAGCACAATTAGATACCAATACAAATAATATAACAGATATCACTAACATTGGATAATGTTTACTATACATCAGATGACAGTTCAGTGAGTGGATATTTACATATAACTCAGTTTTGATAAATGCTTATAACAAGCCTTAAGGTATTTTGATATTTAAGTACAATGAAACGGTGCAAAGTATGAAAAGTCTGCCATTCTAAAACTGTGTAATTGCCATTTAACTTTTGGATCTTTCTATATCTTCCAGAACATCTATTTAAATCTATATACACTAGGTATACATGTATACGATATGAATTCATCAAAAACAAGATGTACCTTTCCCAATATAATCTATATATCTAAATATGAAGGAAGTCATTGAGTGTCTATGATAATCTGGTGTTGTAACACAAGGCAAACTCTGAACATATAGAACATCAGTCTACCAATACAAGCATAGAAGTGTTGAGATTGTGATGACCACAATTTTATCATAAAATGATGTGCAATTATGTTTTCAAAAAATCTTGGTATGTGCTGTTCACAGCGATTTAAGGAACATCACTACATACAAAGAGAATTCAAAGGTGAAATGTCTGCTCTGATGCTGAAAGATTCTAGACAACGAAACAGAAAATCAAAAATGCTGCTAATTCAACAACAGATCCAAAATCAATAAGATTTCTAGCAATTGTCAAAGAGTTATTTCCCTTCCTTTGAATCTCATGTTTCAGGTTTCAAAGGATTTGAATCTTGTCAATACATACTTTTTGTATCACATGATTTTGGGGACAAATGTTTTAGAGTAACTGTTGAAAACATGTTTGAAAGAAGGAAAACCAGATCTTTCCAATTCTATAAATATTCTTATAATGAAAAAAGTATCTAAATGCTGTCACAGAGTAGAGTTTATATTCCAAATGAAACAAAAAAAAAAAAACCCACCTAATTTTCTATTTGATACTTTGATGCTTTCTTTCCTTCCTCACTAACGGGGATCATTTGTTAATATCTCCATATATAGTCATTTTTCCTGACAAAATTGGATACATGATGAAGAAAATATAATAGTACTGAAATCAATGAACAGCTTCAATCATAGTTTTATGACAGCAGCCATACGTGCTTGTTTACAGAGTTGCCATGACGACATGTCTAAAGACAAGAGAGATGAACCTCCATGTCAAAAGAGTTTACGTGTGTAAGTCAGAAAAGAAATAAAAAATATCTACAAAACAAAAGCATTTTGATCCTTACACTTTTCATAGATACAGCTGTTTGTACACGACTAGCTACACCATCTAGTCTGGCTGCCATCCTGAGATAGGACAAGCCCTCGTTCCGCTTCCTTATCGCATTCTCCGCATATATCTTTGCTGCCTCAATGTTTTTTTGTGCAATTGCCTGCAAGTAAAAACCAACAATTTTACTAAGATCACTTTCTCCCAGATATTGAGTCCCAGACCTGATATATAGGCTGTTATTGTGATTATATTGAACATGATTTAGAGTTACAGAGAATACCTGGTAGTATACATAATGATACAATAACAAGAGACACAGTTGAGAAGATCTCAGGTCTCACTATCAACTTTCACAATGTTCTAATTTTCCTAGATCACACAGATGAATTATAACTGATTGTGTTCGTTGACCCTAGAAAAACTATAAATATCTTATGAGGTTATCTATATTCAGATCAGAATTCCAAAATCATAATACCATATCTTACTGTTTCCAGCATTCCTTTCAGGAACATCATCTCCAAATTGTTCTTAATTGATTCTTAATTTACATTTTAAACTACAAGTAAACTACAGTAATCAGTACTTACTTTTTTTACTTTTGCCTTTTCCTTGACATGCTCTTTCTCTGCCTTCTTAGCAAATCTTTCCATTTGCTTTGTATTAAACTGTTAAAGACAAATAGTTATTCAAATTATATTTAATAATGAGACTATACCATTGTATTTGTTCACTGGAGGTTTTAAAGTATGATGTATTCAATAAAACTGTAATTTCACAACATGTGAGACGGGATACAATGTAAATTTCATGGTTGGATTCAACCTTGATACTCCAGGGGTTACACTTCTGGCGCTCTCTACACCCCTGAAAGATTTCATGGCGTCAATTTAAGTTTCCATGTGCGACACCTTGTGAATAATGCAAGAATACTAGTTTGAGCATTTGGTGTGTATCAAACGAATCTTGAGGTCACATAACTGTATGTTGTAGTGGGTTTAAAGTTGGGCATCACTCCTTTACAATCTTTAAAGGTGCTTATCAGTTTGTGATCAGAGGTCAGTTATTTTCACCTGAAACCCTCTCTAGATCAATGAAATTGCTTTTCTTGTGCTTTCAATTTGCAAAGTAAAAGTCCAGGGGTGCAGACAGCAATAGTGAGTGTAACCTCTGCAATATCGAGCATGGGCTGGATTAAACTAGATGTTAATGCAAGATGAATATGAGATAACACTATGGCCAGAACTAAGGAAATAAAAATTTGTTTTAATTTTTACCGACACTTTCAATGTCATTAAAAGATCATATATTGTGTCTGATGTAAAATATTATACACAAGTATATAAATATCAGAATATTTAATAATTAAGGGTTTTGTGACAGCCAAAGTTTGCATGTATGCTTGCACATGAAACATGTGAAAATTTACTTTAAAACTTACCTTCAGGTTAAATAATGCATCTGAAAAATAGAAGTAAATAATCCTAATTAACAGTGATAGGTGACAAGTGACAAATTTGGACAGGTTTTTGTCTACATATAACAATGCATGTATTTATATATATATATATAGTTTTACAGTTAATTTGCATGTATCTTTAAACATACATCAACACATTGGAATAATGTTAAAAAGACCAATGGGGGAAATGTTGAAGATTATAAGGCTATGTAATCTGAATAAGTTACCAATGGTTACCCTTTCACAAATAACTAAACAAAAACTAAAAAGATACCATAATTATATAGCCCTTGGTCCATATGTCCTTAAAAATCTAATTTGATTAGATTTCGTATGAAGATTCTCGTACATATGTGGGTCCCTTGCTCAGCATGGAATTTCGAGAATGATACATGAGCAGCTAAACCAAAGGGAGCCTGTAACATTTTATGTGTTGTCGTCTGACGAAGCTAAGCTTTCTAAACTTGAGAACAAGTATGAACGTTATAACTAATTCATCATCAGGAACTGTTGCAGAGTTGTGGTATTAGATGGGGGGGGCAATGTCAAAAATATAAACAAATATAAATAAAAACTTTTTCGCCAAACCCACACATGTCGCTCAGAAATGATCTATTTCGTGTATACCTATGTCGAATACGTACCGTCTAGTTTACTTCCCATCGTGCTATTTTGATTTCCTACGTTTAATTAGAGTGGAAACGATGTCTATATTTTGTTTACTCTACCAGGAAATGACAAAATTTCAACACAGGTTATGACGTCATAAACTACGGCGTGAATAAAAAGGCTCTTCTCATTGGTTAAAAATCACAGGAAACAGTCTTCGATAACATTCTATTTTTAGATGGATCACATGTGTAAACATTGTTTAAAGTCAACAATGAAGTCATAAACTTCCTAATTCCACTGCGTTATGCATGTACACCGTGACAATGACGACAAATCTTAGTATATCATATCGATTATGAAGGTTGACATGCACTCGGTTGTCTACATACAACAGGTGGTTTCTTTGTTGTCTGTCGTCGACAGCTGCTGCTGCTGCTGAAACGATCGCTGTTCAAACAGGAAGCCATCTCGATCGGGTAAGTGGAGTAACATAGTGTTCTTCTTCACATGTCAAACATTCTCTTCACTTTGTAGCTTACTCTCTGTTAGTCTGCTGGTTATTTTGCAAGAAGGTGACTGTGCACGTAGGTTGGTCGTTAGCCGAGTTCCCAGACATCTTAACTGAGGTACAAATTAAAGTAACGTCATATGGGTAGTTTTCATTGTTCGTGTTATTCGTAATTGACAATAAAAGGCACTGTTTCGATAAATATGCAATTTCGAAATTAAATTGTCGTAATTGTTACTAAATAACGTTCGCGCGGACTTCGGTATATCCAAACCCGTTTTGTAGATAAACGTCTTAAACACTACATAATTTAAGCTGAAGATTTCATGTTCAAGAATAAAAAAAAACTGGTCATTGAAGTCAAATTACCGAGTCTAATCTTAAATACATGACACAAAAAACTGTATTTTATAGACTTAAAAAAAATCTGCCGAAATGTAGTTCCCACTAATCATGAATGCTTAGAATATCTTTTGCATAGAGAATCTTGTGTCATGTAGTGCACGTGCAGCAGGCGTGTATTGATTTGATAGTTTTAACATATGAATTCATATCCCTATTCATATATCTTGTGACGAGCCAAGATTTACATAATTCAATCGATAAAAGTGAGAAAGCAATGTTTCCTTAGTTTGTATTTAAAGTTTCACGGTTACATAGGAACTCGCATGACATTGTTGATCAAGTTCATTACGTTTTTATGTACATCCATTCTATGTTATTTAATGCAAGCGATTAAAAGACCCAGTAACGCTTGTCTGAAATCTTAGGAAATTGACATGATCACGTGATAGTTTAGAACTCATTAATGATTGAGAGAGATGTGTGGATTTCTAGAGTCGTTAAAATGTTTTAAATTGTCGAGTCGTCCAGACCCTGTCAATAATAAATCAGTTACTGTTAATGACCCAAAGTTAAAGATACGTCAGGCGTGTATGACGTTTGAAGAAAAGTTAATTGGCGTTACGGTAGGATGGCTTTCGACCCCCAATACGAATGATCGCGAGTGCAATGGGCTTTGGTGCTGTCCCGAAATCAATACACCAACACTACTTCAGGAATTGTCATAATGAATCATACATTCTCACGAGACGGAACAACTAATTTTGTTGTAATATTTATGTAAATTGGAGCTCGTGCATTTGCTAACCAATCATAGAAACACCGGGAATGGTTTGTTTTAGTATTAGTTCTGCAACTTAAAACATTATTAACCTTAGTGGAGTCAGGAAAGCGCTAGCTTATAGATTGTCGATTATAGATTATAGATTGAGAGAAGGGCTTGATTGACCTCTCTGAGTGATAGGAAGCCCGACAAAGTTTGCGAAGAGAAATTGCGATAATCAATGTCGCAGAGGTCAAATTTGTTAAAACCTTCTGACGTATCTTCAAGATCACATGGGTATATTTGATAAAGCATTCAAATGACTTATTTTGGATTATCCCAACGGCAGTAATAGAACCATGATTTTTAGGTTACTGGGTTCTGAGATAGAGTCTGTTAAATCTTGGTATAGGAAATAATTTAAATCCTGTATTGGAGGTAACAGGTCACCATTTATTGAAGCACTCGGAAGCTTCTCCAGCTCATAAATTACAAATATTGATTAAAATTTCCCATTGATTGTCAGACAAATAATGTTTACCTTGCTGTGAAAGCATGCTGGTTTCAAAGTTGATTTAAATAGTCTTTATATAGGCCTACTTTGAATAAATAAGAGACCGCGGTGACCAAGCGTTTAAGGCCTCTGACCGTCTTTATCTCTACCCCTCCACCTCTGGGTCGCTGGTTCGTGGGGAAAGAAGAAGGGGGGGGGGGGGGGATCGCCAGGTACATGGCCGCAGATCGGTGGTTTTTCTCTGGGAACTCCGGCTTTCCTCAACCACCCAAATCTGACATGCTCTTTACTGATCCTTACTGATAATAGGACGTAAACCAACAATAAAACCAATCTTTGAGTGACAATGATATATGATGTCGCCAAGTCATTTTCTTGTGAGGTGTGCGATGCAGGACCACATGGCCTTTTGCTTTTTAAAACTTCATGTAGGTTGTACAAATTGTACTAATGATGCGTGCGGGACCGTGTATATCTTGTTTTGACCACATAAAGTCCAGCCTGAAGGCTAAGGGTCCGACCTCTTTGCTAACAAGTCAAGTAGAAGAGATGTTTTTTCTCGGATTCGCTTGCCCAGTGTGTATATTTCGGGACTAAATAATTTGTCGAAACATAGTTACATTTGTAACGGAGGTTAAATACAATGCCTGGAGCTCTGATAGATAAAAAAACAACGGTCTTTATTTGGTTCATCTTCAGAGTGTTACGGGCAGCGATATGCGAGGTTAAATATCAACCGGATGTTTCTAAAATAACTCTACCTATGATGCCGGTGTTTTGGACGTGAACACGCTTGAATTGTCGAGCACTTTACATCCCAATTAACTTCACTTAAACTTTACGCCCATTTAAATCTCAAACGACCCTGACACAATAGGAACCGGTGTTTACATAGCGGATGGGTCGTACTGGTCAGTTTACGCTAAATTGTATGTAGTGGTCACACATACATAATTATATACTTATCTCTTACATCTTACACCTTATTATGGCAGACTTGATGGACAGCTAAGCAGGCCGCGATGTGTATCTCTCTGGCCACTCGCGATAGCCGGACAAAAGGTTAAACTGACCCTTCGGGGAGGAGAAATCGAGACAAGGGGGTGCACTGACCTTCTCAAATACCAACGCACAATTAAATAAACCTCGCTACACGTGAATATCTTTAGTTATTCTTTTGTGTATGGCGGAATGGTATATATAATGTATTGACGAACAGCGATATGTAGTTTCGGGAAAATGATACTGTGATAATGGATGAAGTCAATATTTGCATTAATATTGTATTTATAAAGTATCGGTGTTAATTCTGGATCATTAACGAAGTATAGACGGTACGGTAAGTGATTCTCTATATATTTTTATCAGTTAACACCTCAACAGTTTCCTCAGGTCTGGTCAGTCATTTGAAACTTAATTAAAATATATATAGATGATTTATTCTAGAAATTCTTCTTAAATTAAAAGCACATATTTCATCATAAACTTTTTGTGGAAAGCAACCTAGAAATTAAAATAATATTAGAATAATTAAAAAAAGTGGAAAGAAAGAAAAGGGAATGTAGCATGATTAACACTGCAGTATTTATAAACTTCCGTTGTAATACGATCGTACTATAATCCAGACGAGAACTTCCGTTATAGTCCGATCGTACTATGATTCAGAAGAGAACTTCCGTTATAGATGGATCATACTATAATTCAGACGAGAACTTCCGTTATAGAAGGATCATACTATAATTCAGACGAGAACTTCCGTTATAGAAGGATCGTCCTATCATCCACACGAGAACTTCCGTTATAGTACGATCGTACTATAATTCAGATGAGAACTTCCGTTATAGAAGGATCGTCCTATCATCCACACGAGAACTTCCGTTATAGTACGATCGTACTATAATTCAGACGAGAACTTCCGTTATAGAAGGATCGTCCTATCATCCACACGAGAACTTCCGTTATAGTACGATCGTACTATAATTCAGACGAGAACTTCCGTTATAGAAGGATCGTCCTATCATCCACACGAGAACTTCCGTTATAGTACGACCATCCTATAATGCAGTTGAGAAACGAAGATAGAAATACGAATGATTAAAAAAACAAAAAAACCGGTCAGAGTAAAGATGGTCATGGTACGTAGCGACTTGACTCACATTGTCCGTACACAGCTGGGCGGGTCAGTAGATTTAATGTACCCGGAAGACGATTTATTACAAACCAATGGTAATTACAGGTAAATACCTGTGATTTGTATGTGTGCCACGTTCACATTGTCCTTATCTGTATATTGTCCCTAAACCACATGGTTTACATATCCACGCATTGATGTGCAGTTATACGGGTCATTATTGAATGAGCCCGTTTCTTTGATTCATTTTAAATGAAGATTTCACACTGTTTATAGTCGAATTGAGGGTGATTTATAGGCTCGCCAAGGCTGCTGGGCCACGGAGGAAGAAGAGTTGGGTGGTCCGAATCTAATATCTACATAAAGGTACATATTTTAGACGAGAAAATGTTACTGTTTATGATATAACGTTCATTGCTTACTAAATCTGGTTTTTATTCAATAAGGAAATAAGTTTAAACAGGACTTCTTTTTGCAGATACAGAAATACATTATCGCCGGAAACCCATGAGACTCTGCTCTGTCGTCGGGGAATCCGACGACGATGACAAATACATGTGCACTACATAAAAAAAATGAAAATTTGTATTGTATAAATCTACATTTCGATTTTGTATTTGATAAACAGAAACTGATTTATGTGCAAAATATTTGAAGTATCACGTGACATCGGAATAAATTTGACTATATAATTGATGATAGATTTAAACAGTGGATGATATTACCTGCGCATCGATCTGGATACAGACCGATTTATCGTTCAAACCCGTTCAAGATGCAACGGAAATGTTGTCATCGCAAAATAGATTAATTGTTTGTATATATAGATGTGATATATTTTAAAATTAATCCTCAATGAACGTGAATTA